CCACATAAGTTTCAGCTTTTCTGGCCCAGTGGTTCTTGAGAAGAAGATTTTCAAAGATTTTTCCTATATATTTCTATATAAAACTTTGATTCCCCATTGTGGCCCCGCCCTTCCCCTGGGGGTCATGATTTGAACAATTTAAAATCTACACTACCCCAGGATGCTTCCACATAAGTTTCAGCTTTACTGGCCCAGTGGTTCTTGAGAAGAAGATTTTCAAAGATTTTTCCTATATATTTCTATATAAAACTTTGATTCCCCATTGTGGCCCAGCCCTTCCCCCGGGGCTCATGATGTGAACAATTTAGAATCTACACTATACCAGGATGCTTCCATATAAGTTTCAGCTTTTCTGGCCCAGTGGTTCTTGAGAAGAAGATTTTCAAAGATTTTTCCTATATATTTCTATATAAAACTTTGATTCCTCATTGTGGCCCCGCCCTTCCCCCGGGGGTCATGATGTGAACAATTTAAAATCTACACTATACCCCAGGATGTTTCCACATAAGTTTCAGCTTTACTGGCCCAGTGGTTCTTGAGAAGAAGATTTTTTAATAACCCAACCCTATTTTTGTCTTTTCTTGATTATCTCCCCTTGCGAGGGGATATGTCCCTTCATTTTAACAATTTAAATTACCCTTCACCCAAGGATGCTTTGTACCAAGTTTGGTCAAAATTGGCCCAGTGGTTCTTGAGAAGAAGTCAAAAATGTGAAAAGTATACAGACGGACAGACAGACGGACAGACGGACGACGGACACAATGTGATCAGAAAAGCTCACTTGAGCCTTCGGCTCAAGTGAGCTAAAAACATAATTTTTCGACCCCCATTTGACCCCCCGGGGCAAAATCAAAATTCCAAAACCTTACTGCACATCTACATGACCCCACCAACCATCTTCCAAAAGATGATTAGGCTGCCGAATAAAATGTAAGAGGAGTTCAGGGAAGACGGAGCTTTTTGCTTAAAAAATGTCATTTTTCGACCCCCATTTGACCCCCTGGGGCAAAATCAAAGTTCCGAAACCTTACTGCACATCTACATGACACCACCAACCATCTCCCAAAAGATGATTAGGCTCCTGAGTAAAATGTAAGAGGAGTTCAGGGAAGACGGGGCTTTTTGCATAAAAAAACATCATTTTTCGACCCCCATTTGACCCCCCGGGGCAAAATCAAAATTCCAAAACCTTACTGCACATCTACATGACCCCACCAACCATCTTCCAAAAGATGATTAGGCTGTTGAATAAAATGTAAGAGGAGTTCAGGGAAGACGGAGCTTTTTGCTTAAAAAACGTCATTTTTCGACCCCCATTTGACCCCCTGGGGCAAAATCAAAATTCCGAAACCTTACTGCACATCTACATGACCCCATCAACCATCTCCCAAAAGCTGGTTAGGCTGCTGAGTAAAATGTAGAAGGAGTGGGAAGACGGGGCTTTTTGCATAAAAAACGTCATTTTTCGGACCCCCCGGGGCAAAATCAAAATTCCAAAACCTTACTGCACATCTACATGACCCCATAAAAAACGTACAACCATCTGACAGACCCAAAAAAATGAAAATTCCAAGCATAATATTATGAAATAACTTCAAATGCATGTAAGTCAACCAAAATACAACCCAGTTTTAGAGGAACTGAGATTTGACTTTTACCCATAGCTCTTTTTCTAAGGAGGAAATTCTTCAAAATAATATGTCAATTTTGAATCTTTTTAATTTTCCCAATAACCAGAATGATTTTGTTTTACTATATCTATATTGGATTCACAAAAATCCTTACAGAGATACATAGCAGGTTCCAGTAAATGCTCTACCAAGTCTCTTTCTTTACTCCTCACTAAAATATTAACAATAATATTTACATTTCCAAATAATTTCCCTTAAGATTCTTTGCAAATAAGATGAATATTCATTTTCTCATGAACTACCACGGATGAGCATGAATATCTCCATTGTTACGTGATAATACCGCACTTGAAGTCAAAACTATAGTGCAAACTATTTTACTTTAAAAATGACAGTTGAATGGCATAAATTTTGTGGCAAATCATCAGAAAATACTGTAATGTAAATATAAGAAATGAATTTATTTTTTGGAGATTCATGAAGTATATGAACTACAACGCTTCACGAAGGCATATTTATCATGAAGCGCTAACGCGCTTCATGAAATATGCTGGCGTGAAGCGTCGTAGTTCATAACCTCATGAATCTTTAAAAAATTATTTTCATTTCTTAAGTGAAGGAGAAACTTCAAGAGTACAGTGCAACAAAATTTTGAAAAGGGGTGTAAACTGATTGTATACTTAAAAATTCCAAGAACCTTTTTGAGAAATTGACATCACAAAATTTTACAAAGATCAACAGCATAAAACTCACGACTTTTCAACTTTATATATACACATGTACAACATTTCCGAACAATAAATTAAAAGTCCAGGTTTTCTAATATCACTGACAACTACTTTTTCAATAAAAATCGAACTCATAAATTTACTTAGGCCTACCTTTTCATTTATCATCTCCAAAATTATTTTGTTACAATTGTACACACAAAGTACTCTGAAGTTGATCCAAAAAAAAAAAAAAAAAAAAGCAAGACTATTTTATTGGTTGAGATTGTTAGGCCATCATATACATACTATATTGTCGACGGATTTTTCCGTTAGGTCCCGATCATGACAAGGAGCAGACACATTTTGGAGAAGACACATTTCTGAAAGGTAGTAAATGGCATAAACAGTATCTTGAGTTGAACAGGAAAAAATGACTGTAATAAAGGAGGAGCAACTCTTAAATGATATTCGTCTGCTTTCATAAAGTGTGTAAATCCCGTGAGAAAGATTCCATCCACCGCTCACGCGGGTTACGCATTTTCTACAAGAGCTGCAGCATTAGTTCCCATACTAACTCTCCAAGAAAGTATTCAAAAATTTTTTTATTTAAAATTTTCAAAACAAGTCAAAATAGCCTTTTCTAACAGAGAGTATTTTGATATTATGAAAAAGTTCTTGTTGATTTTAATTTCTAACAATGACTACATATGTAGTTCAAATATAGTCATTAAAATGAGACTTAAAAATAAAGACGATATTGTTATAAGCTTTGTCTTCAAGAATCATAGCCTCGTTCCTGAGGAAAAATACCTGGAAGAACCAATGATTAGCATAGTGCCTTTTATAAAATAGAGGTCAGCTGAGCTGCTCTGGAAACAGTTTGATTGAAACAGAGAAAATATTAATTTCCAGAATGTCAATTTGAAAACTACTTCTTATTGCTTAAGATTCACCTGTCGTAAAGCGTTTTTTATACAGAGGTAAATCTTTTATGAACAGTACATTAAACAATTCAAAATTGGAAACATGGACCTCCAAAATATAAGAGGTGGGGTTAGGTCCAATGGAGGAGTGAGCATCTTCTGCCGACAACTCAGATGATGATGGATATGTATATATAATCTGTTTGTCATCATACACTGAAACATCGCTGATGTACATATCAGAAACATATATGCCACATCTGGAGTTCCTTGAACAGAGAATATTCGCCTGTTTGATTTTTTTTTTCGTGGTAAAAGAACGGACCTTCGAATTTACACATTATCAAAATATTTTATATTTATGGAAGACTTTAAGAATATATTTCTTCAGATAGCTGATTTTTTTTTAAAATATCCCCAACTCCATTATGAAAGTTGTTGTGCCAACAGTTGCCAAACAGAAAACACTTCAAGGAAATATACAGAGTTTCCCAAAACATACCGGTATGTTACACTTTTAATCATATACAACTTGATCAAACCAAAAGCATTCACAAAGATATTTTGTCAACATAAAGTGTATTTGTATACATTTTATCTGACAAACTTTTGAGAAATTCTATTAAAAATTCAGGTAATTATGATGTCCTTATGGCGTCATAATATTTTTTAATGTGGAACCTTCATGTGAACAGCTGGTATAATTTGTAAAACTTTACTATGGGTCTAAATCTTCTATTTTAGTCATTAGAACCATGGGAAAACAACATCCTGTAATGAAATTACTCAACAGAATACTAATTTAATTAGTCCAAACTGTTAGAGTGTTACATTTAAGTTTGATAAAAAACATCAGAAATCGTGTTCAAACAGTGTTAATTTAAAGGGACCTCATTTAGAAGATGTTGTAAAATGACGTATGTTATTCTAAACAAAAAAATATTGATAACAAATAAGGAAACTGTGACACATGTTTGCTTGACAAAAAATTTATAACAATTTTATTATGTATTATAAATTTCATTCATATAACTTGAGGCATAAAATTTTTATAACAATTTAATAGTGTATGCACATTAAATAGAGGCTTTTTTCCTGTAATATTTGCTCTGTAGCAAATTCAGCTATTTGAAAAAAAAGATGACAAAAGAAATCTGAAAGTATTAATAAATTCATGGGTTATTTTCAGGAATGAATTAACATGTTTGTAAAAAATCTCATTGTTTTTCAGAGGTTTTTTTTAGGTTCGATATCTTAATCTCTTAATTACATGTCAGCTTCCCCTGAGTCAAAAAGGATGCCTATTTTGATATTTTGATGACGGAATATAAATTATTTGGCAGGCTTAGGGTAGGGATCCAAACCAACTAACCTGGCAATCTGTCCCCCAAAATTTTTTATGAAGCTGAAATAAAGCCAACAATGTTCATTGACGATGATTATGTTCATACATTATTAGTATATAAAGAAAAGTCAACCTAATGTTGAACTAATAAATCTGTGACCATATTATATCAGGGTCGTTATATGAATTATTTGTGGTTTATTATCCAGCAACCTTTCTTTTCTTGAATTGAGCCCATTATACATCAAAATGTCAACAAAACACCGTGAAATCTGAATTCAGTTTGTCTTTTATGGAAGAATTGATCGTGGGGTGGGCTCGGTGATTTTTTACCTTGATAACCTGCAGGTATAAGTTATTGGTGATCCTATACATCATATATTACATTATGACGAACCTTTTCAAGACTTTCTGTCATAGGATGGTTGCTTCAGTTACAAAACTGTATGTATATATTTCTACACATTGATACCTATAAGTATATATATTGGTAACTTAACAGTATCTTACTTTCTTACTTATTGTGTATATGTTAACTGTATCAATATTAGAGTACTGCGGTTATTTACTAAGGTTTATTTATATAATAATTTTAAAGAATGAAACATGGTCGAAACATTAAAGTTCAATTCATTCAAAAATAAATTTAAAAAAAATCAATTCATTCTTATATGCATTTAGCAAAAATACCCTGGTATGCTGATCATAATTAAGTTAACTAACCAACATCGTTAATTGGTAGATATGTTGTTTTTGTTAGTTGGCTTCAAATCTAGACATTACTATACATACTAAACAAAGTGTTTTCTTATTTAAAATAAACAACTATTTTTGAAGAAAAAAATACTGAATCTAACATGTATAAAAGCAATGTTTGCATATGACGTGAGTAAACTTGCATCACCGAGAAAATTGTAAATGTATATAAATTAGACCTATATTATAAGAAAAAATGAGCTTTTAATTTATCCTTTTTTATTTGTTATAGATTTTTTTTTTCTGTTTTTTAATAACGGTTTTTAAAAAAAAAATAATTGACAAATTGTTCCCCCGGGGACCTTCAATGCCTCCTCCAAAGCTCTTTGTAACAATTATGGTTTTCATATTCAATAATATATTAACAGATCTCAACATAGGAAGAGATCACACACAAAACATGCACTTCATAAATATGTAAAGATTTCTTTTAAAAAGGTGCTTGGACTTCAATGCTTGGATGTATTCATGAAACGCGTCCCGGAATTCGTTGTTGCAATAATTTCCATATAAAATAATTTTTTTTTTAAAAATAATATTTTCTTGTGAAATGCTATTGTAATATACCGGTACATGTGTAAGTTGTGATATAAAAAAGCAAATTTGAGAAATTATTAAGTTCAAATCTGTTTCTAAGCTCATTGAATTTGTACTTTTAAGGTGAAAAAATCTTTAACTAGACAATTATATTAAACCTGGGTTTTACATTTCAGATGTGTATTTTTCGGAATTTTTCTAACAGTTTTTCTCTGCTTGATGACAGCAAACTTTGATTACCACACACCGTTGCAGAATTATTGGAAGTACAGAAACACAGTTCAGAAAACTGTTCCGAACAATACCAGTAGCAGATTCTATTTTCCAACAAAGAAAACACCAAGTCAACATATAGCTTTCTTAAAAGTTCACAAAACAGGAAGTACAACGGCTCAAGGAATCTTTCTTCGTTACGGACTCAAAAGAAATTTAACTTTTGTTGTTGCCAATAATAAATCATGGTTCCCTAATATTATAAGTCTAGAGGAATCTGTTATACCTGGATACAATATTGTTCCACCTCCCAAAGGCAAAAGATACGAAATATTGTGTTTCCATGTTGTTTATAACCGTTCAGCTTTTGAAGGAATTATGCCAAATGATACAAAATATATAGGTATTGTCCGTGAACCGTTCCTTCAATTAAAATCAACCATTCGGTATTTTAATTATGGTGGACAAAACAAACATGCTCAATTTCTTCGCAATTTTCTACAAAATTCAACTTCAACTGGAAGAAAGGAAAACAACAATCCAGCAACATCCTTTCTGAATAACAGAATGGCATTTGAATTTAATTTTCCAAGACATCTTTTTGATTCTTTTACATCGCACGAGGTAAAGCAGTATCTAGAGATTCTTGACAAAGAATTCGACCTTGTCATTATAAACGAGTATATGGACGAATCAGTCGTCCTTTTAAGACGAATTTTAAATTGGAATGTTCAGGATGTTCTTTTTGTCAATCTGAATGTTAATCAAGGAAGTTCAGACTTAAATAAAGTTGGACTGAAAGAAATACGTTTATATCGACAGTATGCCGCACTTGATTACGAATTATACCACTTCTTTCTAAAACGTTTATGGAAACAAATTAATTCTTATGGGCATGATATTCTAGAAGAAATTTCGTATTACAAATTGCTAAGGAAGAACTTAGAAAACTTTTGCAATAGCAAGGAAACGGCGATACTGATTGTAGAAGAATCAAACTGGAGTTCATCATTCCTTGTGACCCATGAGGATTGTGACTTTATGAGGCAGGGGGAGTTTTGGTATCTTAACGAAATAATGGAGCAGCAATATTTAAAGAAAATTGTAAATTGATATTTTATCACTGGGTGAAAAAAGCGGTTTCCCATCATGGGAAACTTTATGGAAACCACCTGGAAACCTCAAGTTTACATCATGTTTCCCAGTGGTTTCCGCAGCGGATGCCAGGTTATTCCGCCAAGTTTCCGTGACACTGAAACTACTACGCTCCGATTGCATAAGGTATCCCGAACCACGGAAACCTCGGTAAACCTGAGGTTTCCCGAACATCCATGTAGTTTCCCGTAATGAGAAACCTGAAGATTAAACTGGTTTCCAGAATCAGGAAACAACATGGAATCGGAGCGTAGTGGTTTCCGTGGAATGGAAACTTGATGGAATCCTTAAGTTTCCTATTACGGGAAACTACATGGAAGCTCGGGAAACCTCACGATTCCTAAAGTTTTTTTGACTGAGGAAACTATATGGAATTTTAGTGTAGCAGTTTCCGTGTGACGGAAACTTGGTGGAATTATCTGGTGTCCACTGGGAAACTTCAGATTCTAAAGGAAGCAATGCGAAATTATAGTGCAAGTTTCCATTCCATAGAAACTAAAGGGTAAATAAAGAATTTCAATTTTGGAATATGATTGACTTGAAGCTCAGTGATCCCTGTATTTGCAATGGATTGTAAATCTTTCATGTTTAGATAGTGAAAAGAGAACAGCAGTTTTAAATCAAAATACATGCACCACGGGTTGATTGTTTCCATATCGGGAATCTACATGGAAACCACTGAGGCATGTTTCCACGGTTTCCTATTTTGGGAAACTTACGGGAAACCACAGGTTGATTGTTTCCATGTCGGGAGTCTTTGAATAAAATGGGAACTATATGGAAACTACTGATGTCACGATTCCCATATGTTTCCATTGGGTTTCCTAATTTGGAAAACCCGGCTTTTCATCCTGTGTATAAACTGTAATATAATCTATAGTTATCTCAAGTTCTTCTCTACCGCCCTGCTTGTTATCATATAAAAAAATATCAACAAGCTAATAACTAACATTACAAATATATTCTCATGTACCATACTGGACAATTTTTGTCATGCAAAGAAGAAAAATATTTGCCAAGTTCAAATTGATAATTTGAATAAGATTTATAAACTGAATAGCACGTGTAAATGGTCTCCTAAGCAAAACAAGTACTTGTTTTCTGATAAATAAGAGTATGTAATAAATGGCAAGTCCTTTTACTATTTATTCATGAAATAAAAATTTTCTTTCAAGAAGAGAGATATCTCTTTAGCTTATACGTAGAGATATCTCTTTGACTAATCGAAATAGCTTCATACCTTGGAGAGATATCTCTTTAAGCGAGAGAGAGATGTTTCTTAAACGTAGAGAGATGTCTCTTTTACAAGGTTAAAAGAAATATTTTTCTTAATTAGAGAGATATCTCTTTAGATTTTCAAAGAGAGATATCTTTCTTAGCTAAAGAGATATCCCTTTTAATAAAAGAGATACCTCTTTTCCAGTCATTCTAAAAATAACTTTTAAAGAGATATCTCTCTAAAATGAGAGATATCTCTGTGATTTTAAGATAAATTTTATTTTCCAAATGATTAGCAAAAGGGCTTGCCATAGTAATATTATGTAAGCTTTGTAATTCAATATCTTAAATGAGATATTGAATCTCCCTAAAACACGACTAAAACTGTTAGATTTATTTTTTTAAAAATTGTATTTGAATATACCATACAATGCATTTTACATAGAAGCAAGAGGCCTATGAGCTAAAGTGCCTTAAGTCGAATAACCTTTATGTGACTATGTTGAAAGACGCTAAAAAGACACCAATATCATAAGTTTCTTTAATGATTCAAAATTAGTACAGGAATATATTGACAAAATCAACTGCAAAACTCGTAAATAATATTGAGTTGGGGAATGCAATGCCGAGGAATTTGTTCTGATAATCTTATTCGAGCATACATTTTGTATTTTACCAAGGAAACTGGCCCCGATATAAATTGTTCTTAATGAAGACATATGTACCTATTTCTTAACAACCCCCCTTTCAATTGGGAAAAAAGACCCTTTACTTGAACAAAATTGGATCCATGTCACTTACCTTTTACTTGAAATAGGTCTGCTAGACACCACGGGCGAGCTAAAAAAATTGTATGGTTAATAAGCAGTTTCATAAACGCAACAGAAGCGGCTAATTTAAAGAAAAAGAAAACTGATACGCCTTTATTCTCCTTCATTCATTAATATAAACAGCTGCTTGGTATTGATCCAAGAAAACTACCAACAATGATTGTTTTATGTAAAATTTTGTTCACACTCTTGAAATATTATATGGGGTATTGTATGAAAACCAATGTCAGTATACAAATTATGTTATGGGATCAATAACTGTTCAAAAAAGGATACGCACAAAATTCTTGTTTTACCAGAACTAGTTCTTCACAACCCTATTTATTTCTAGGAAATTGCTACTCAAGGGTTAGAATACATTCGTGACCAGCTGAAAATAAATCTCAACAAACCTTGTCAATTAGAAACTCGAGTTTTCTTTCAAATCAACTTTTTTAAAGAAAGTAATTTTGTCCATGATCAATCAAAAAGACACAGGAATTTTCCTGTGCTATTTTTAAATTAAAAAAAGCAATTGTGTTAGAATTAGATTACCGATTTCTGTTCATTTTTACTATGATCATAATTAGGTACATGTAGAAGCAAGTGAATACATATTTTTTGTAAAAAGTGGAAAACCTGGGGATGCACTATATAAAACGTCGTTAATTTAAGATCACCATCACAATTTACTGTACTAAGTTAAATCAATTAAAAAGTTGCAGTAGGAAAAATCGTGGAGTTAGTAATTAAATGCAAAAAAAAAAACAAACAAACAAACAAACAAACAAACAAAAAAAAAACCAAAAAAAACAAACAAAAAAAAAACACTGTGTTGAAATAGTTATCGATTCAGCTCAACTGCTGTTTGAAAAGGGATAATAAGGCGATATTACATGTAAAATAGGTTGAAAGGTTTTAACTCACACTGATAAAAGAAGAAGAAAGGGCAACAAATAAAAAAAACATTATTCTTTGTCTATATCGTTTTTGTTGAGTAATGTTCACGGTTGCACTTATAAATAGCATTTGGGCCATTTAAACTTTGACTGGAAATTGCTATTTCATGAAAAAAAAAATTCTGTTAATATATGTTTCCCTTGTAAATTACAAAAAGTTCTGGTATGAATTTGTGAAATAACAATACATTTCTTGTAACAAAAAATTGTTTCACTGAGGTTGTGGATGGGATGGGTGACTGGTTGGGGATAAATATATTTTCCGTTTTAGTTTTACTTAAATTGTAGAGTTATCTCTCTTTATTTTCTCAAATAAAGAATGTTTTTTGAAAATTCATAGAAATATCTATAAAAATAGGAAAAAGCCTTTAGATGTGTTGACTTTTTAAGACTGACTTGGAGGTAGTCGGAGAACAATGCTATCCTTCGCAGTTCTGTTCTAGACCAAAGTAAGTTTAAGGTTAATGATTTTCACTATTTAGAGACCTAGTGACTGAGCATAAGAAATATCAAATGAATACATTGTATATGTATATTATGTCTGTTTATTTTACATGTATTTTAAGGTGGTCTGTTTTGGATTTCAGTATGTTTTTTGAAAATAAGTTGTTAATTTTGCATTAAGGTGATATACATAATTGTATAATTATGCATTAGACACATCTCTCTTCGGCAACAAACGTAAATCAAAACAGAACGTCTCGGTGTTTTGAGTTATTTCTGATTTAAGCCGAAGATTTATACTATTTAACGGTGCTGTTTTTTAATAATCATATAGTCATAAAAATGTCCAAAGAATAGTCTTCAAGTGACTTATACTGGACATCATGAAAGGGAGTAACCTTAGAATTTTATGATTTTGCAAATTTTTAAGAGTTGTCTTTCTTTAATAGTCATTCAGGGGACCAGTCAGTGAAGAGAGATTTTTTTCAATGATTGATAATTTGAAAAAATAATTTTAATAATACAAAATTTTGTTTTGAAGTTTGTATTATATTTTAGTGTTCTGTTTACTAGCATATTTTATTTCATTATGCATACATTTTACATAAAAACATTAATTACTAGTAAGCAGTGGTCACTTTCCCTTTTCGTATAGAAAAATACATGTAGTATACCCAAATGAAAGCGATATTTTAAAGAAATATGAGCTCAACATATTTTAGATTGGTGCTAGGTTTGAACCGTAAAACGACCATCGTTGGAAGCGCCATTTTGCTTTGACGTTGAGAGGTACAAAGCGTCATCAACTGTGAGGTGTCGGCGATGGAAAGTGATATCATAATATTAGTTGATTTTTCTATAATAGAAGAAAAGATAACTACACCTTATTATTGATATATAGACTGAGTCACTCCATATGTCAAAGTTGGAGTTTGTAGTTTGAGGCACAGTGATGTCTATTCAATTTTTTAAAAGAAATTTTAATGAACAACACAATGTTCAAGGACTATGGTCATACATTTGAGTATATGATCGCAAATCAATCTTATGTTGGACTTTAAAAATCTGTTACCATATTATGTCAAGTTAATCATACTAGTTCTTTATGATTTATTTGTTGTCTTGAATTGAGCCCTTTATACGTCAAAAAATCTCAACAAAACACATTGAAACCCGAATTATGCGTGCCTTTATGGATAAATTGATCTTGGGATGAACTTAATGATTATACAGCAGCCATAAGTTATTGGCGAACTTCTACATCATAGATTGAACGATGGTAAAGACATGATGGTTGCTCCAGTTACAAAAATGTATGTATATATTTCTATACATTTATAAAAACCTTGATACATAGCATTGCTAGTTTATCGATTGTGTAAACTGTGTCTAAATATTTCAAGATAATGCTGTCATGTAGTAACATTTATTTATAAGGGAAGTGAAACTCAGTAATAATTTAGTTAATTGACAAACAACCTTAAACTTTAGATTTGTTGAAATTATAGAGATTCATATCTCTGCAAATTCCTGTATATATACGAAAAGTTTCTTTTGGATCAGCATCTGATGCCAGAAATTTATATTCATTCTATACGTTTTATACCGAAAATTTCGACGGCTGAAATTCTTTTTATATATATATTATATTTTTGGATTTAGCATGCAGTGATTTGTGTATAACATGGGCACTTTCAACCCTTAAGGAAAGACATTTATATACCATAAAGACCCATATTTTGTTAAGAATTGACCTTTTCTACATTTTTCAATTTCCAACAAAATTTTCCTTTTAAAAGAAAAAAAAACTTCTTAAAATGGTAAAATTCTGAAATTGTTGCTTGGGGGTCTCTATTTCTATCTAAACTAATGTTTTACATTTCAGATGTATATGTTTCGGAATTTTTCTGACTCTTTTTCTCTGCCTAATGACGGCAAACTATGATTACCACACACTGTTGCCGAATTATTGGAAGTACAGAAACACAAACCAAATAGCTGTATTGAATAAAGTTAGCAACTACCGGTATTTTCCAACAAAGCAAACACCAAGTCAACATATAGCTTTCTTGAAAGTTCACAAAACAGGAAGTACAACGGCTCAGGGAATCTTCCTTCGTTACGGACTCAAAAGAAATTTAACTTTTGTCGTCGCCAATAATAAATCAACGTATCCTAACGTTATCAGTATAGAGGAATCTGTTATACCTGGATACAATATCGTTCCACCTCCTAAAGGCAGAAGATACGAAATATTGTGTTTCCATGTTGTTTATAACCGTTCCGCTTTTGAAGGAATTATGCCAAATGATACAAAATACATAGGTATTGTCCGTGAACCGTTTCAGCAATTCAAATCAATCATTCGGTATTTTGATTACGCTAAACATAATAAATATGCCCAGTTCCTTCGTCAGTTTCTACAGAATATTACTTTGTCTAAAAACAAGGAAAACCATAATCCAGCAACGACCGTTTTGAACAACAGAATGGCATTTGAATTTAATTTTCCATTGCACCTTTTTGATTCTTTCAGTTTGCACGAGGTTAAGCAGTATTTACAGAAACTTGATGAGGAGTTCGACCTTGTCATTATAAACGAGTATATGGAAGAATCAGTCGTCCTTTTAAGACGAATGTTAAACTGGGATGTTCAGGATGTTCTTTTTGTCAATCTGAATGTTAATCAAGGAAGTTCAGACTTAAATAAAGTTGGACTGAAAGAAGTACGTTTATATCGAAAGTATGCTGCACTTGATTACGAATTATACAACTTCTTTCTAAAACGATTATGGAAACAAATTAATTCTTATGGGCATGATATTCTAGAAGAAATTTCATATTACAAATTGTTAAGGAAGAACTTAGAAAGCTTTTGCAATAGCAAGGAGACGCCTATACTGATTGTAGAAGAATCAAACTGGAGTTCGTCATTCCAAGTGACACATGAGGATTGTGACTTTATGAGGCAGGGGGAGTTTTGGTATCTTAACGAAATAATGAAGCAGCAATATTCAAAGAAAACTGTATATTGACCACATACCTCTAGCCTCCCCCTTTATTATGTTATATCATACCAGGTCTTTGAACTTTTATCGGGAAAATTTATAACAAAATCAAGCGCACCAACTAATTTTTCTCACAAAAGAAATGTAACACATTAGGCTCGATAAGATCATGCAATGAAGATATACTGAAGTAATATTTGCTAAAATCAAACTTTTAAATTACCTGATAAGAAAAGATGTATGAAATAAATAGGCATGTTCATGTGTAAGTACTTCTCTCAGCCAAATACTGGACAATACTAGTCATATAATACTATGTCAGCTTTGTTACTTAATACTATCTGCTAGAAAAAAATTAATTCTAATTTTTAAAAAATAAAATATTATAACGGTTCTATGCATTGTAAGGCAAAACAAAAAATTCAAAGGCCATTGTAAGGCAAAACAAAAGATCCAAGGGCAACAAAGCCATGAGTTGAATGACCTTAACATAAAACATGCAGATTTTTTAAACGCTTGCAAAAGATGCCAATTCATTTTAACAGTTTTGATGAAAGTGTCTTAAGATGTTGAGGAGATGTAGATAGGCAAGGTTTGTAATAAAGCTGTTACTGGTAGAGTCTAATTCAATAAAAAGACACAGTGAAGCAAAATCGGGAAAACTGAAGAGAATTCATTACTTTTGTATGCTGATTTCATATTTTTTGTTCGAGCTTTCTGCTTAATAAAAGCCACGTGACGTTAACATAGACGATATAACAATGCGGTTAATAGGTATGTACATATTTGCTTTACAGTGCAGTTGGGTTTTTCAAAACTTTTCTACAGCTGGTTTATTGATAAATCTTTGGATTTCTGAAATATTTGTGAACGATCATGAATCATTTATATCGTTTAATGCTTATATAAAAATATTTTTCTATAGACAGAGAGGTATTGGTTCAGGAATTAAAAAAAATAGGGGATAGGTTGATATACCATCCTTAGGCCATGTTTTGTGATAGTTGAAAATGCTTGTAGAATTTTAAAAAGAAGTTTTTCAAAATAATGTTCTCATTAACTGTACACAGATTATAATAACTTTTTAAGATATTTTCAAAACTATTATTAGATAAAAATTGTTTATTTATTAATTGGTTAATCAGCTTTTTTTCTTCAAAAGAATATGATAGTTTTTGTCAATAAATTATTACGTACATTATTTGTCAATATACTAATGGATCAGGCATTTGTCACTCCTGAAACCACAAATTCTAAATATTTAAAATTGTTTTGTTGTAAATATAATCTATGTAAACTATTTTAGTGTTTAAGTACGAAAAAAATTATGGCAAATATACTTTTTTATATTTAAAATAAAATATTATGTTCAAATTATTTTCGCCCATTATGCAAATTATCTAACGTTTCCCACAATCATTGATGCAGCGGCATACTATACTCACTAGATTCCTTAAACATCTCTTGTATTAATTTTTATCACTTATTCTTACTTTTAATATATTTATATGGAATACAACAGTCATAATTAATTCTTTTTTAGAAAAAACAGATGAGATGTTTTATTCTTGTTTAGGGTCCACATGATCATAAACGGAAATAAATACATATATATATAATGAATAATGTCATATATATATATATATATATATATATATATATATATATATATATATATATATATATATATATATATATATATATAATATATAATGTAGGTAAAAAAGAACATACACAAAAATACACTTGCATATTTAAGGATATGGCAGTGTAAAACACAAAAAAGATTTTCAGTTTTAAAAAGCCTTGGGGGTTACGTTACTTTCATTACATAGGATATCTTCATATCAATTTGCAACCTTTTGCTATCGAACAAGAAGTTTCAATTTTAACAATCCAAATACAATTAGTTTTCATATACAAACCCCTGCTATTCCCACAAATAGTTATTACTATTTTTATGCCGATACGATATATCCTGGTGAGCTTAATACAAAAGATACCACAGAAAGTGACACATCTGTTTCATATCTAGAGAATTTTTTTGAATAAGACGTAAATGGAAATTTAACAACTAAGCTTTATGATAAGCAGGATGACTTTAAATTTACAATAGTCAACTTCCCTTACTTATGCAGAAATATACCTTCATCACCTGCATGCGGGTTTATATCTCTCAGTTGATTTGATATACGAGAGCATGCTCTACGTATGAACAAGTTTTAAAACCATTGACATACAAGTTGCTGAAATAAGGATATCAGCAGTCTCGTTTAAAGTCATCATTTCCCAAGGTTTATGGTCGATACATTGACCTTGTCACACAGTTTATCATTACGTTATATTCTGACTGACGTTAGGCCATTATATAGGCACTGAGTTTTCGTCAGATTTTTCCATTATTTACTGATCATGACAAGGAGCATACGGCGGGTGTTACAGGACGGTAGGGGATGCTCACTCCTCCATGGCACCTGATTCTCCTATGATGTTTCGGAGGTCCATGTTAGCTTTCCTCCAATTTTATATCGTTTTATCGACTTTTGAGCTTGAATACTGTTCGTTATCTCTATATATTTAATTCATATTCCCAGGGTGCAATGTTCTGATGAATATCTTAGTATGTGAAAGCTTTCACATTTTTATGCCCCCGTAAACGAAGTTGGCGGCCGATAATAAGGGGTGGGTGATGCAGGTAAGTATAGATCTATCGTAAACAGGGGTTTCTACGTTTAAAAACCTCCAGTTTACATCAATATCTATACTTACTTGCATCAACATTTTGCAGAATTTGTAGCAGAAAAAGGGCGGGATAATGACAAGTTAATTTACTAACTACATAATAGTAAAAATAAAGATTGCACTCACCGTTACAGGTGTACTCTACTTCTATTTCTTTTCCCATTGCCCATCTGGAAGTGTCAAGGACTAAAGACTTGGCAAACCGAGCTTTACCTTTAGAAACACCCCTCATGTAGAATGAAGTATAAGTGGTTTCTGTTGCCCGATGGGCTGTCTGTAAAATTTCTTCTACTGTTGCTCCATTGAAAAGGGCCCATGAAGTTGCTAGTCGTCTTGTGTCATGTGCACGTATGCTACAAAAAGATTCACTATTGTGTTCATAAACAACTTTGACAAGAGATACAATCCATCTTGATATGGAATTTTTGGATGCCGGTTTTCGTAGATCTGATTTGTAAGTTAAAAATAAACACTTTTCATCACCACGAGAAGACTTTGTTTTTTCTAGATATATTCTTAATGCTCTGCATGGACACAAAAGCAAGTCTCTACTGTCTGTTGCAAAGGTGTTAAACTCTGGTATGAACATAGGTTTCCATGGCTTTCCCAATCTTTGAGTTTTCGCCAAAATCTGTATGTTTGGTAAATGTCGAATTCTGTTCCTTTCTAAACGCAAAAAATAGAAACTGTTGACAATGCTACTAAAGACACTGTTTTCCAAGTAAGAAACTTAATTTCAAATGAATTCATTGGTTCAAAAGGGTAATCACACAATTTTCATAGAACTGATGGTAGATCCGACTTTGGAAGTAATGGTCGTACATTTGGTTCAGAATTATAAATTCCTTTAATTAATTTCGATATATCAGTATTGTTACTGACGGAACTGTTACTCAACCCTTGTGAATAGATGCTATAGCCGACCCATAACCTGTAATAGTGTTCGGCTTACAACTGTGTTCTTCATGCAAGTAGATGAAAAAGTCTGCAAAATTTAGCCACAGAGGCCTCAAAAGGATCTTTCTGGTTTGAGGTACACCAGATTCGTAGTCTAGCATCATACATTTTTCTCAGGGGCGTAGCATCAGGCCTTGCTTATAGTATAGGAAATGTTAATTGAAAGTCTAGTTGCCCCCCCCCCCCCCATGAGTGATGTACGAAAAATGTAGTATGAAAATTGGTACTAAAAGTAATTGACATTGAGAAAAGTTGGCCTCACCCCCCTCCCTTCCTCAACACCTCCCCCCCCCACGAAATGGGAGTTTCGACTTTGGGCAACTTTTCCCTTTTTTAGGGGGGGGGGCTTGTCAACTTTTTCAGGTAAGTAAAAAAAAATTTTTCTCTGGCTGGCCCCCCACTTGCTACGCGCCTGTTTCTTGTTGATTCTCTGCGAGAGTTGGAGATGAATGACATAGCTTTTTTCAGAAAATTGATTCTCTAGACTTTGTCGTTTGAAATTTTCCAATCGGCCCCATGTAGAATTTCTGGATTTGGATGAATGAACTGTCCCCTCTTTTGTGTTAACAAGTTTGTTACTACTGGTAGTTCCCTTGGAAAGTCTATTAGCAGATTTAGTAGGTCTGGAAACCACAACTGTCTTGGTAAGAACGGAGCTATGAGAAGGAGAACACATGGTTCCTGTTCTACCTTTTTTCAGTACTTTTGGAATTAGCATTGGTGGCGAGAATGCTTATGCAAACATTCCTATCCAATCTACAGCTAGAGCATCGCATCCCCATGCTAGAGGATCCGAGAAGGGAGAACAAAAAAACTGTTAGTTTCCGATTTTCCCTTGTCGAAAACAGATCTATGTTTGGAGTGGAGAAAATGTGAAAAATCTGTAGAACTACTTCCTGATTGAGACTCTATCATGCTGGGATAAAGGAAGCTGTAACCATGGTTGAAATTACTTCACAAAGACTGTGAAAACGGTCCAAACTTGGGTAAACCACACCACGTTGGAGGTGAAATAGAGCTCCCAGATAAGTAATCTGTTAAGTTGGTTGTAGTATTGATTTCGATTGATTTATCACCAGACCTAAATCCATCAACAGCAACAGAGTTCTCTGTAGTTGGTGCATTAGTGTCTTTTGATCTGCATTTTTCAGCAGCCAATCGTCCAAGTACATGTAAATGAAAATCTGCTGACTTCTGAGATGCGCTCCTACAGCTGCCATTAGTTTTGTGAATACCATTGGAGCTAATGCAAGATCGAAAGGCATTGATTTGAATTGATAATGGTTGTTGTGTATGCAAAATCTGAGGTATTTTTTGTCCTCTGAATAAATCGGAACCCAATTTCCTACATCCTGTAGATTGATGCATCCTTTAGAAAAACATTTAAGGGTTTCAAATATTAATGTCAACAACCAATGACCTTCCTGGGCCTTCGGACATCTCTATGATATTTCAATCTCTCTCATGTTTTTGAGGATTTGTTTTAAGAATATAAACTTGAGTCCTTCCTGGACTATTTTTAAAACCCATTCATTGGATGTAATTTTCATCCACTCCCTGTGGTAAGAAAAGATCCGACAGCCTACATTGGCTGATTTCTGCAACTCTAGGCGAGTCTCTAGTTGAACTTGTAAGCTTACTTCTGGGGACGAAACCCCATAGGAGCTTAGACCGAGCTACGATTTTTGAAAGAAACCTGAGAATCCAACTTTCGCTCTCTTCCCAGGCCAGTCTTTGCATTTTTGTCAGTGGAAAACTTCCTTTTCTTTGCAACGGTTGGTTGCTGTTCTTTCTACTCTGAAGTACCAACTGACGCTTCTCTTTTCCTCTTTCTTGCAAAATTTGGGTTTGAACCATCTCTCTGCTTTGAACTTCTTTTAAAAGTGTTGTGTTTCTTTAGCATACCTTAAACTTTCTGCACTTGAGTGAAGGATGTCAAAATATTTCCTACAAAAGAGTTTAGGATTAAGAGTAGATTGTACAAGGAGTTTATTTTCAGTTACCTTGCTTATAAATGCGAGATCCTCAATTGAATTGCTCTTCGTACCGCAACTGCACAAACTAAGATGCGTGAAGTAACATCAGTCATTGTATCACTACCTGAAGGGCCTCTGTCTTGTCGTCATCAGATACTACATTATCCACATACGAGGTAATAAGAGAAGCATAAGTCAACTCTCTCAGAGAAGACGTGACTCTTGATCTATCTTCCACAACTCATTGTTACGTGAATGCAATGTTTGATTACGGAAACAGTAAGAATTTTTATTACTATTCCTTGCGAAGCTACTGTCCTCAGTGCTATCATAAAGTCGTGGCGTTACGCAATACTTATCAAAATATGCAGATGTTACTCTGTACTTCTCATCATCTGAAGCTTTATAAGTGCGTATTGTACCCTTACGCTGGAACTCCACATCAACGTCTGTTAACGTGTTCAAGATGTAGCCATCCAGAGGCAATGATTGTTGTGGGGTACATGTTTTTGACCCTATCAAACGTTCTGACATATACTGTGATGTGTAACAGAGCGGATGTTACAACAAAAATAAAAAAAAATTATCAAAAAATATATACAAAAAATATTATCTCTCAATTTAGACTGAGCTACTTGATCAAAAAGCGGTTCGTGGGAAAGCTCAGATAACTTCTTAGAATCTATAACAAAGAGAAATTATTTACAACAAAATAAACTATTGGACGGTGTGAAAATCAAAATCTCAATCTAGCTCTATTTTAACAGAACAGTCTCAACTGTGTCTCAACTGCTGGCTTACCTATTTATAAGTATAATCAAGTTTTACTTTATTTATTAAAAGCCTATTCTAATGTAAGATAGGGAAGGAAAGACTTGTTCAGGTCACGTCTAATCCCTGTCTCACCTTAGCCTAAGTTTTCCTCAGCAGCTTCTTCCTTTACTGTCCTACTGACTGACTGACTACAAAATGTGTTAATGCACTGCGAAGACAGCGCTTTTATACTCCCTTTATTATCATACTTGATTCTCATAGGCTGATGGCTAAAAATTATCTTCTTTCTACTAGAGAGTTCTAATTACTAGTAATAGTTATCTCTGATCATCACAGTACGACTTGAAATCTCGATCCTGATTTTCAGAAGTTTTCACAGAATCTATTTTTAATTCAGAAGTAACCTTCTTAACAAATTTTTTCCAGTCTACTATACATGAATCATTAACTTCTGTATGCACAGAATCTGCAACAGAGTTATCAAACTCAGAATGGTTGTTCTCATCATGGACTTGAACAATATCGTCCATTTGTGAATTTCTCCTCATCTGACTCTCTTGAGTGTTGAACATCTGAAGGTCGAAATCTATCGAACCTCGTGAACGGTTTTCAGTCTGTTTACTTGCGCCATGTACTAATTCTTTGACTATGGCGTCTATCAAATTTCGCATAAAATTTTCTTGATACTGCTGCCATTGAGTTTCAAAATTTCCCAGCATGAAAGGGGGTACAACCCCTGCGCCAAATTGCCGCCATTTTGTCGAGGTTGCGATTCTGATACAACTACGTTTCTCACAGAGGAATCTTGTGAATCAGAACAAATGTTATTCCCCACGGAGGGAATTTCTGTTGCTGGATTTGACACCGTGGCCGATTTCTTACCAGATTCAGATTTCTTGCGTTCAATCATTTTATTCATAAACGTCCGTTTTTCCTCTGTCCAAGTTATGCAAACTTTACAGGGAAACGCTTCATTGCAGACGCAATGTCTATAATATCCTGCGTGATCGTCTAAATCTATCATTTCTCTACTACATTTCTTACATATTTTGTACCAATCAGACATCGTTAATCGCAGGGAACTAAAAAAATTAATGGTCACAGAAGAAAACACGCAGTTCCAAGATACCCGAACAAAACTGAAGCGGAAGTGCTAGGGCATTATGTGTATACATACACATAGTGTATGATAATACACATAGTATATGATATCTCAAAAATTCAGGCAAAATCGTATGCAGCCCGGGGAAAATGCAAATAGTTGATGCAGGTAAGTATAGATATTGATGTAAACTGACTTGGTAGTTAAAAATAAACAAACCTAAAAAGGACCATGGTAAAATATGAACAAAAATTTTGATCAGCTCACTTGGCACAGATGAGCTAAATGATAAAATTATACCAGATTGACAGTATAATACATGTCATAGAAGCATGTGACGTGCATGTAAATGAAAAGAGAAAAAAAAATCCTATACTTTATTATCGTTTATCTATTTGTTTGTAAACATCTGCTTCATATTGATTGTTTTGTGAAATATTTTATCAATTCTCGTAAAATATTTTTGTGAAAAGCCAAGATACATGTAAGTATACAATAGATCAATAGCTATGCAATAAGATATTCACACAACTCAAGATTTTTTTCAGGACTAGTTCTATAGTTAGGCGTGTAAGTTCTAGGAACTGACTACACCAGTGAAAGGTTATATTTGGGACCAACATATCAAAGAAATAAATCTGAGAAAAGCACTAACAAGTTAGTTAAAATTTCTCAATCTAATATGTAATTTAAGTGTGATGTAAATATTATAAACTTCTGTATAAGATCTGATGTTAAATCTAGAAAATTTCGAATGTTAAATATGTGGAAATCAAAACCAAGGATACTTGTCTAATTACAAAAGCTGATGATACTCGTTAAATTTAAAAATCTGTGATGATTGTCCGATCACAAAAGAGAAAGAATGGACAGGTGTAAATTCATAGATTGACAAAAAGAAAATCATATCTTCAAAAAAGAACAAAGAAATACACACGCCAACTCTTGATTCCCGCCTACATTTTGCACCCATTTTATTCAATATAAATGGCAATTCGGCCATAAAATCTTTAACTAATACAGAGAACAGTTCAATGATAATTGATGAATTGTCTTATTACCAGCGCTAAATAGTAAATTATCCATGATTCCAGCTTTTGAAAAAAGGAAAGTAGACGATAGTTTCTAATGAAATCGGAATTTCAAGCATCACCATTTTTTTTTAAATAGTCTCGGATATGCTTAATTTTCCTTATATCTTTTCTTATGTTTTAGGCAAATAAATAAAACATAAATATATGAATATAAATAGAATGAAAAGTTTCAGTTGTAAATCGCTTTGAAATTGGTGAGAAATAAGCATTTTTGTCGTTTTTTGTCAATAAACATATGCCCCCCCCCCCCTCCCAGGTGAAACACAAAAAAGCTCTGGTATGAATTTGTGAAATAACAGTCCATACATGTATTACCTGTAAAAAGGGATTTTTGTAAACGGGGCGGATGTTTTAAAAATATTTTCCGTTTTCCGTTGATTTCTTGGTGAAAAACACAAGTTTTACCAAAAAGTTATCTCTCTTTGTTTTTCCAAAATAAGTAATGTTTTCCATATAATATTCTACAAAATTTTTTTTAAAAAAAATTCATCAAATATGTTAACTTTTGAAAGTTGACTTTTAGGTAAGTGGGAGAACAATACTATCGTTCGCAGTTCTTTATGAACTGATCACTTCTATATACTATATTATTTAGCCAAAATAAAATCTTACATAACTGTTAACAATTATTGAAAGAAAACAATACGCACACTGATCTTGCACTCAGTCATTAAAAATGTTGTTTGATACATGAAATGTACACGTGTAATTGACATTTGATACTTGAAATGTACACATGTAATTGACAGTTGATTCAGCATGTCATCTCTCAGTCACCTTCAGCCACATCGTGTCGGGCTTAATGAAGCCACTGTTTGCTAGCTTAGGTGGTATCTATAAATCAATTAAACATCTTTAAAATATGAACTTTTAAAATAAATATTTGTACAAATAAATTATCAAATGAATTGTATGGAGATAACTAATAGTATTAAAGATCGGAAGTCCATCCTAACAAAATGAATCAGTAGTAGAGAAAAGAAGGACGTCATCTCAAAGGTGGGGTCAGTTACAATGAAGGAGTGAGCATCCCCTGCCGACAGGTTACACAAAATTCATCAATACATTGCCACGGACAGAATTCAACGATATACATGCATTGTCGAATTTAAAAAAAGGAAGCAAATATGATATATATATACAGAGAGTTCACGGAGGGAAAACACCTTATCCTTGCTCCAGAATTTTCAGGGGTCCGTTTTTCATGGCTCATTCACAGATTTGTAAGATTGTTTTAAATTAAGCGTTTATCTTTACCTCTTCAATACTCAATAATACTCACATTCGTTTTGGAGCATGTTGATAATTCAAACTGCCTGAGGAGTTTTGTCATCGCTACTTTGATCTCGATCAGAGCAAGTCTTTTTCCGATACAGAGTCTGGGACCAAACCCAAAAGGCATGAACTTATAGGGATTCATTTTGGCTTTATTTTCCGCTGAAAATCTAAAATAAAGACATTAAAATATAGAAAAAAATCTTTCCTCATTTATTTTATTTCCAGATGTTTATGCTCTTTAGGCATTGGTAAAGTATTTAATTTTTTTTTTTACATTTCGAAAAATAATATAAAAGAATTTATATTTATAAGTAAATGTATGTATTTTTCTGTCATATATATTTCAAATTTAAATTCATTGATTGAAGGTTCAGTTAAACGCTTACAGTATAAATATTGAATATGAATCTACGCAATAACTTTAATGTTACGTATATTTAACTTATTCCATGTGTCCCCATCGTACCCTATATTTTTCATGAAGCCATGAGAAAGACAGTAAATGGATCCTCAAATAGATACATAGAAAAAAAAATAAAAAGTCTGAAGAAGGCTACTTTTTAAGTTACAGAATTTTTATGGAAAACCTTTCTGGGTCGAATTTTTCAGGATCTTCCCAGAGTTTTTCGGAATGATGTAAAATCCAAATCGGTATTGCAATCGCCATGCCTTTTGGAATCTTCAGACCATTTACTTCAGTATCCTGAACACATGTTCTATCAGTCCTGAATAAAAAGAAATAAGTGAGCTTTATTACATACACATGTAGATTAATAGTTTATAGCTTAAAAACTGCTTGAAACCCTAAGACTTTTAACTTTCAATATCTTGGCGTTTCATTTAACATTGTTCAATGAAACATATGGAGATAACAAACAGTATTCTATTTCAAAAGTCCACAAAACAATACAAAAAGGGAGCAGAACAATCATGAACCTCCAATACATCAGAGGTGGTAACAGGTGCCATGGATGAGTGAGCATCCCCTGACGACCCGTCAAATAATATACAAGTTCAAAACTATATTGAGACTCTTGTCTACGGTCTTTTCTGCACCGTGGAACTTCACTTAAAAATATATTCCTTTAGCAAAATTGTAAATTTACATTTATTTAGACAACTCATGCCCTGAATTCATAGCAAAAATTTAAAATATTGTCCTTCACAAAAAAAGATACTGTATAACTTTTGCAAAATTCTTATCATTTATAAAAAGTTAAATGTATGGACGAGACAGGAAGATATTCCAAATGACCATAAGGGGGGGGGGGGGGGATTACAGATGCGCTTCATTTTAAAAAATCATAAGAACATGATGCATGTCAAAATAAAAAAAAGACCTCAGACAATGACGGATTAAACATACCCGATATCATACTTTGTTAGCTTATAGAATTACAAAATCTAATACTCAGTAAAGTCTATGCTACCTTGGTGCTACGGGGTACATTCTCATTGTTTCATTGATACACATTTCCATATACTGTAACTTCCCGATGTTATCATAACCCGGTTCTTCCTGTAAGAAAAGTGTACATGCGGTTACTGAATACCATTCATGTTAAAATGGATTGTTAAGGTTGTTAGAAATATATTAAAAATATGAGAAAATTTAATGGCAAAAGCGAAAATCAAAGGCAATAATAGAAAAATTCGACACAACATGAACAGTATTTGTTTGTTACAGCAGACAAGGTTTAAAACAATATTTTCTTTTTTTTTGTAGGGTCCATATAACACTGTATTTTAAAAGAACATGACTTTCATATTTAAATTTCATGTGTCATATCATATTCCAAAAGTGGTGTAAATCAGATGCGGGTACTCAAAAAAAATAAAGAGCTTTAAGAAAATTTAAAGTCACCACATTTTTTCTCAGATCACAATAACATTAAAACTTCTGCCTCTTCCCCACTTTATACGACCATTTAAAGATTTATATCAATGGGTGAAAAAACTAGGCGTTTGATATCAAAGGCATTGCCTCGTCATAAAAGTGGAATTTTTACATCATGTAATTGGTCATCATCAACATTACTTCGTTAAAAAATCACTCTGATTCTACACAAAAGTACACTGATGTTGATATAAAAAGAATGCTGGTAAATGTTCCTCATTGACACCATTTTTGTAGTCTTTGGAAATAAAGTATGGAGAAATTAACAAACATTTTTCAATTAAGCTAACAAATCTAATCAAACAATATTATTCAGGAGCAGAGCAAACACTGACTGCTAATATTTGAAGTGAATGGATGAAAAACCAGTTGTCATGAAAGGCATTGCCTAGGAAAGAATTGGTCATCATCAAAACCGATTACAATCACTCTGCCGTGTGCTCCACTGATGTTTCATAAAAGAATTGGGAAATGACCAATTATTAAAGATCATTCGTATACAGTTTAGTGGGTAACTATCTAATGATGACTTTAATCGAGACTGTTCATATTCTTCAAAAAAGCACATTAGCCAATTAAAACGTGTTTTACAAACCAATTGCTTTAGAATTCTTGTTTCATCATTCAAATATATTGACGACGTTTTATCAATTTTTATACGTTGAAGTTGATGTCAGAGGGATTTAGACAACCTCATTTAAACTCAGTCATAAATTAATTTGTTCTTATATAAATGACCTTGTTAGCAAATATATCTTACTATTTGGGTCTTGTTTTGGCTGACTTGTTTCATATATATACTTATTGACAGTTTTCTGTCTACTAAATTACTATGTACAGTGTAACTTTGCGTCTTCTTGATCAGTGAGTGGGGATCACGGTGATCCACCTGTGGAATATCGGGGGCCGTGTTAAATAAGACCTAGCTGTCCACAGATTTTAATTGTTAAGAGATTTTTTTAGATCGACCAAGGCTCGATATCTTCAGCCTTTTCACTTTTGCTTCCCCCTCCCCGGCCGCTATCCAATATATAAACAATGTTCAGTTCACTTTTTTTGTTTAGAAATACATATATGTGCGGAAATTAAAAAGAAACTGAAAAATATTTTTTTCAAGACCCTCTTTTGTCACTTACATCACCTAGTTCAGACACGATCTCGTTATACACCCGCTGCTGAATGTCTGGATGGAGAGCCAGCAGGTACACAAAGAAAGAGAGCGTGTTGGCCGTCGTCTCGTAGCCGGCAAAGAAGAACAGAAGACAGTTAGCAATGATCTCAGTCGATGTCAATCCTGGAAGAAAAGGTTTCACCCTCGTAAATATACCACTCTTAATATTAAGGATAATAAAAAGTGCAATAAATTCAGGGAAGCTATTTAATTATTTTAAATATTTAAAAGAGGAATATATACCGAATCATCGCCAAAATAAGATAGATTACTAAAATAAATACACTCAATTTGTGTTTTATATAATATTATCATCTTTTTTGTGAAAATTCGATACCAGTGCCAAGTTATGGGCAATTTCCTGATTTTAAAATGCAATTTTGTCTTCGAGTGTTCTCGAAAACGGCTAAAGATATTAACTGGAGACTTGTTAGAGATGATAGACTATGAGTTATAGATGTGCAATTTTGACTTCGTTTGCGTCGTAAGTACTTCCGGTCGCTACAGGAAGTGAATTCAAAATGTACACTTTTTCAACTTTTTTTGTTTTTCAATATTTTTCTTTGATATAATTAATGGTAATTAAGACCCTACTGGAAAGGCCTAATATATAATTTATCTAAGAATTGATCAATGCACACACTAGATATTCGCATTTAAAAATCTGAAGCGTGTCCAAGATGGCGGCGGTCTCGGTAAACTCCGCCATTAAGCAAGTCGGGTTCTAGAAGGTCAGCTGAGCGTTTAGATGAACGAAACTTCTACCAACAAGATTTATGAAATGTAAAGGATTCTTTTGATTGCTACATCGCAATTACGTTGCATTGAGTATACTTTTAACATGAGGTTTCCTCAAACTTCTATTGAAATCGCTTTTTTCTGCATCTCAAAGTAGAATACAACATGACTACAAGTGGAAATACGATGACTTCAGTGTTTTATTTTGCACCAGGGAAAACTTATCCTAAACCATGGTTATAATACTTTTCAAGAAACTTGCCTGACTTAATATTCACTATGTTTCTGAAGTATGACTTGACTTCTGTTTATTTTTCTTTACGCAGGCTTGTGACATATTAAATGAATAGAAAAGAAAAACATTTTTAAAAGATTTATTAAAGGTTATATGAATATTCTTGTAATAAATGCAAGTTATTGACATAAATAGTATCAGATTCCTTGACCGTCGGAGGACGAGTGATTTTTTTTTTTCAGTGAAACATTCCAGTCTTTTCATGAACGTGTAACTCATCTCCACTTTGGGGGTAAACAGGATACAAAATTCGTGGAAAATCTTACCGAATTCACAGCTTTATTGTTACTTGGCCGTATACGAAATTATATTTGTATAATGTGATAAATATTCTTGTACTTTCTAACGCTCGAAATTCTGGTTATAAGAACATACATTTCTAATTTTCATTGAAGCTATCACATCCATTAAATAAATCAAACATTTCAAAGGAATAGCGTTAAGAACTACTTGTGATGTTTGGCACGAAATAATGCATCATGACCCGACTTAGTAGTAGACAAATGGCGACAATAGTGCAGAAATATATAACATTGGCATGCCTGTATATGGAGTTGCATGGGATAAAAAGTTGAATACATATCGAAACCAGAAGTCTCTGTCGAGACTGAAGCTCTACTGGTACTTATTATATAGCAAAGGAAGAGAAAAGTACTTAAGCTGTTGAAACAGGAATTGAAACTTTACAACAGCAATAAATAGAATAATGATCCTTGATTAAGTCTCATTATGTTCTTAGTGTAGTCTACTTGCATGCCGCATTATATTATAATCAGACTAAAACTGTATTTGGGGTAGCATTTTGAGAGTATATAACAGAAATTTCTATTTTTAGTAACTGTGGAAACACCGTTCACTGAAGTGAAAAACCGATACATAGAATTATGTACCTTATTGTAGTCTACTTATGTGCCAAGTTATATTGAAATCACACCAAAACTGTAGGAGGTGTAGCATTTTAAAAGAATTTCACAGAAATTTATAACGATGTCAACACCGTTCATCGAAATCAAAAACCGATACATAGAATTATGTATCTTAGTGTAGTCTACTTGTGTGCAAAGTTATATTGAAATCAGACCAACACTGTAGGAGAAGTAGCATTTTGAAAAATTTCACAAAAAATTCTATTTTTAGTTACCACGGCAACACCATTCATTGAAGTGAAAAACCGATACATAAAATTATGTACCTTATTGTAGTCTACTTGTGTGCCAAGTTATATTGAAAAAAGACCAAAACTGTAGGAGGAGTAGCATTTTGAAAATATTTTACAGAAATTTCTATTTTTAGTAACCACTTCAACACCGTTCATCAAAATCAAAAACCGATACACAGAATTATGTACCTTATTGTAGTCTACTTGTGTGCCAAAACTGTAAGAGGAGTAGCATTTTGAAAATATTTTACAGAAATTCTTATTTTTAGTAACCATGTCAACACCGTTCATCAAAATCAAAAACAGATAAAAGAATTATGTATCTTGGTGTAGTCTACTTGTGTGCCAAGTTATATTGAAATCAGACCAAAACTGTAGGAGAAGTAGCATTTTGAAAAAAAAATCTTAAAAAATTCTATTTTTAGTAACCACGGCAACACCGTTCATCGAAATCAAAAACCCATATACAGAATTATGTATCTCAGTGTAGTCTACTTCTGTGCCAAGTTATACTGAAATAAGACCAAAACTGTAGGAGGAAGAGCATTTTGAAAGAATTTCACAGAAATTTCTATTTTTAGTAACCACGGCAACACCGTTCATCGAAATCAAAAACCGATACACAGAATTATGTATCTTAGTGTAGTCTACTTGTGTGCCCAGTTATATTGAAATCAGACCAAAACTGTAGGAGGAGTAGCATTTTGAAAAATTGTTTACAGACGGACAGACAACAGACAGACAGAACGGACGAACGCATTACTATCGCATAAGCTCTTCTGGTCTCTGACCAGTAGAGCTAAAAAGGAAAGAAAACTGTATCATCTGTTCATCATTAATAGATTATCTATCCTAAAAATTACTGTTAAAATTCAAGTTACAAATTCCGATGTGATCATCTTGACAAAAGTTTGGCAAGCTGGCTGGCATTTTACAATTCCAAACTGAATTTTTAAACAAATGTAATGTATGTTGGAATAAAAAAAAGCAATCTCGCGATATTCGAATGTTAAATTTGAAGCGGGTTCCCAAAGGTGTAATCGGTACCGCAATGGATTTTCACGCTGGCTACCTGGATTCGATCCCCCGTGTGTCCGATTTTTAAAATCACTTCTTCAGTTTGATTTTACGTTGTTTTTTTCTGAATCGGACGGAAGACCTCTCGTTGCTCGCAACGAGTTTCGTTTCTAGTTATTATTATTTTTCTTCTTCTTCCTGGGTACTTTTTTGTCCGGGAGTGATCTTGTAAACTATACATCCGACTTAGGTAAAACCTTTTTAGGGTCAGTAGGCATGTTATGTAGATTTGCGGAATGAAGGTCATTTTGCGCGCACGTGCTTGCAAGAGCGTGCACGTGCAACGCGTGAAATGACCAATATAATAGATATAGCCATAGCTTTTCTTTTTTTGAATGAAATGCTTTGAAACTCATAATGTGATGATATATTAGTAGCATAAACAATATGTAATGGTCAAAATAGCAAGATCTCACGCGCATGAACATGCGCTTTGCTCTGATTGGCTGAAACTAAAGTCTCAATATCTTTCTTGTTTTTTGACGAAATCCTTTGAAATTTTGAACATAGCCATGCATTAGTATATCCTACAACTTGATACATAGCAATTATCATGAAAACACGTGCATGCACGTGCGCTGCAATCTGATTGGCTTAAACTTTGAAAAGCTATATATCCCTTGGTTTTCAACCAAACAGGATGGGATTTGGAACATAGATAGATATAATATAATTCTACAAGAAAGTATGGTCACCATGCACATGTATACACGTGCGTGTACGTGCACTGCAATATGATTGGCTGAAACTTTAAACAGCTATAACTCCCTTGGTTTTTAACCAAACGGGGTGGGATTTAGAACATAGATAGATGTAATGGACTTCTACAAGAAGGTATGGTCACCGTGCTCATGTATGCACGTGCGTGCACGTGAAATGAGTAAAATCAAAAATACACTTAAATGAGAGTATTTTTTAATAATTTTGGATTAAATACTTAAATAATTAGTGTATTAAAATATATAGATTGCGTAGACAAGATGATTTGGTCATTATGCACATGCATTCACATGCGCACGCGTGCAATGTTAAAATTTGAATAAACTTGGTACACTTCTGGGTAAACGTTGTTAAAATCTCAAATGCATAGAGTTTGTCTTATTTAATGAAGCTTACAAGGAATATGGCACCAAAAGGGAGTTTGGGAGCGTTTGGGGAACATCTGTAACGGTCCCCGTTACAATTAGCACTAGTTTTCAATTATATCTATGTGTGCGGAAATTTTATTCATCGTGAATACAAGTGGAAAAAATCGTAAAAAACCCAAAACAATCGCTCAGCAAAAAAAAAATACCCTACTATACATTAATTAAAAAATGCATCTTTGTTATCCAAGGGTGACGATCGACACCCTTGACTAGCGATCGAGATATTTATGAGAGATGTATAGTAGTGGGCTATTTTTTCTTGGAGCGATTATTTTGGGGCTTTCACCCTTGTAAACATATCACTATAAATACAAAAAATAATAAAAAAATCCCATAAATTCAGACATTGAGGGAAGTTGTTTAATTATTTTGAATATTGATGATGTCTGTCCTCCATATTTTCCCCACTCTTCTTTTTCCCCTTTATCTTCTGCCATGTTTTTTATAGCGTATACATGTATGTACCTCTTACCTGACCGTATATATTGTATATAATGTATATTATACAATTAATTACCCCTTTTGAGGTCAACATGGTGAAATAAGGACCCGAGACCTGGCCCACGAGGCGACCTGACCTGACCGAGGCCGAACGAATACCTAATTCGTCCGAACAAATATCTAATTTGTCCGAACAAATTTCTAATTTGTACGAACGAATATCTAATTCGTCCGAACGAATATCTAATTCGTCCGAACAAATAACTAATTCGTCCGAACGAATTTCTAATTTGTCCGAACGAATTTCTAATTTGTCCGAACAAATAAAAATATTTTTTTTTACCTGGCCCTCCAGCGGCGCCGTACTTTTCGCTACACAGTCAACATCTAACACAGAATTTTACTCTTTAAACAGCCGATTCTACATTCCATTGAACTGAATATTGTAACGATATTTTGAAATGAGTAACCGTTTAAGTTAAGGATAAAATTTTACCGTTTTCTGTAGGGTAATGCAAAACAGACCATGCACAATTTAAAAAAAAAACGTTGATTTTCTCGAATAATTATTATTTTACGCCTTAACTTCACTGAAAAAGGAATTTTTGATTACGAGGTCATTATTTAGCGGTCATTAATAATAATGACCGGGTCATTATATCCTATGTGCAATGATTCCTAGGTCATTCTTGCTGTAAACAGTACCATTTGGAGTCATTGTTGTGTTTGAATGTTTTCTTACCAGCCAATCAAATTCGAGTATTATCAATAGAGGTATAATAAATGTTAATAATACACACGTATCCTATGCACCAATAGTTTGGTCTGAGTGAAATAAACTGAACTGAACTGAGAAGAGGAATATATACCAAACCATCGTCAGAATTATGGGACCGATTTGCGAGTTACCTAAATGAGTACACACAATTTGTTTTTTATATACATGTACAATGACGGCGACCAAAATTTTATTGTACTTCAGAAGAGGCTATATTACTATATTATACTTTCATGTAAATTAGTTGAATCTGATTGGTCGAGTAAAATTTGTTAAAAAACAGTATTACCCGCTGAATAATGAAGTCACGCCCTCCAGCGTAGCAACAGTCAACATTGCTTGACGACGGGTGATATTCCAAAAAATAGCCACTGCGCAGAATTTATGCGCGCAAGGTTCACTATTATACATGTATGTACATTGTATTTGTATAAAACATTCAGTATAATATAATAAATATTGCATGTAGTTGAGTGTAACATTGAAAATTTATACCCCTCGAAAACCATTGTCAACCGAGGCGCAGCCAAGACAATGGTTTTCTTGGGATGAAAATTTTCAATGTTACACTTAACTACCTGCAATATTTATACAATAATTATCATAATGTAAACAGGTATACTTTTTTCTAAATTAATATGTTGACGGTGCGACCGTTAGGGCGAGCGCAGATACTTATCCAGTTGTTGTTTTTTTTTTTAGATCGGACTCGTCAAAGCGCACGTGACATTCGGTGCGTTTAAGACTCTGACGTCACATGACGTCGTTCGTTGCTTTACCAAACCGAAGCCTGAACAGGGCTGATTTCAATCAGCTAGTATATGACTATTTTCTGCAATAAACAGATAATTTCATTAAAACCAAGGCAAGTTTATTATTCGTTTAACTTTTGACGTTATTCTCGCGAGAACGTTGCTTTAACGTTTGTGTACTAAGCGATGCATTGTGGGTCAAAATTACTAATGTGCAGTAGTCCGAATTTTCTCTTCGCCCAGGCGTTGTCGTTAGAGCTCGCAGTTACGAGCGTCGCTTCGCGACGCTCGCTATAATAATCTTTTAATATTAACATGTTAATCCTGAACAATTATGGAGACACACCCCTTTTTTCGTCCGTTTCCTGTGGGTTGTCATTATGAGCATCCATCATCAGCTGGATGAAATCTACATATTCCTGTCAATCAAATTCGAGAAATAAACAAATTATTATTACGTGTGCTATTAATGACGTCAATGCAACCGAAATGAATTAAGTCACTCAAGAGTACGACTACACTCTAAACAAAATTATAAATTGAAAATCCCCACCTTCTTACTAGAATCCCTTGTGTTAAACTCTTTTTCTATTTCTCCTTTGAAAAATTCTGAAGCTTCTTTGTTCAAGAAAGAAATTTTGAAATGTTTTGCAATTGGCCTTGAAAGAGTGGGAAACATAACTAAAATTAAAGAAACTTATGAATTAGAGGTTCATTTATTTGGTCAAATTCATAGAAAAAAATAAACTTCAATACAATATTCCCCATTTTAAAAAGTGATGTTATCTTTGAAATAGGAACTCTTCTACACCAGCATAAACTTCCGTTGACTACACATTACGATAATCCAACAAAAGTGATCAACTTACACGCTGCATTTAATATTATTAAAAGAAGGAAACGGTTTGCGAAATTTTTTTAAAGATAATTAGCGATTTTATAAAGGGTCTGTTAGAGCCCCCTCTCTAGAAAGCGATACGAATTAGCTAGGTACGTAGCATCGTCTTTAAAAGTGGGGGGGGAGGGGCAGCCAGAGATCTTTTTTTTTACTTAACTGGAAAAGATGACAAGCAAAAAAAAACTTGCCCAAAAAAAAAACTACTTATTTTAGTACCATTTCTTTGGCATACAATACTACATTTCCCTTATATAACTTTACCGTAGTATAAACTGGGGGGGGGGGGGGGCAACCGGTCTTTAAATTAACATTTTAAATAGTAAAAGTAATGTTGGGAAAAAAGAGGGGGTGGGGCTACCCCCCCCGCCGTTGCTACGTGCCTGTTAGCTGGTAAACAACTTCATCAGAATTTGCAATTTTATGTTACGTTATTGTAATTTTTTCTTAAAATCCTATAAACTACGGGATACATCTTATTTATGTCTAAAAAAGGATAATTTACAAAATACATTAAGTTTGTAATAAGCATTGTGGTGAAACCGGAAGATGAATTTCGCAAAATGTCAGTTGACTGAGATTAGTGTGTTACACACTTGAACTCAGAACTGACCATAAGGTTTCAAATCAACTTTCATGGAATTTGATTGACAGGTGATGCATGAGGGTTTCGTGCAAAAGCATGCACAAAGAACGAATGTGTAAATGGGTTGAACAGCTGAATATGAACCAAAGTTGTGGAAATTAAAAATCATTAGAATTATTAATTGTGAATTCAATATAATTACGGTATATATATATTTTTTTTCACAGATGTACATGTATGTCAGTTACACGGGGCTTCATCTCTCTCTCTCTCTCTCTCTCTCTCTCTCTCTCTCTCTCTCTCTCTCTCTGATATTGTTTTTACACACTTTGAAAAAAAGAACAACTTATAAAAATATATACTTACACTGAAAGGCTTTTAAAAACATAAATAACACTTTACGAAAAGAATGTTTTCCGTATTGACGAGAAATACGCTCGGAAATTATCTTTGCATCAATTTCGTGTTTCTGCTCTCAATTCTCTGATCTAAAACAAAATAAGTGTATTTTACTCGTTAATATAATATGCTTAGATCCTATAAAACTTTGATTAAATGCAGCTCAGATTATCATTTTAAACGACATATGTAACACATTTTCAGATCGATTGTTTTAATTAGTCTTTCTTTACATGAGCATATGAGATTAGATTATTCATTTAGAATTCCATTCAAAGTTTTTTATAAAGTGAATCAATTATTTTACAAATATAAATTTCTAAAAACACGGTTAATTCAAATGAAATAGGCCTTTAATTGTCACCAAAAGTGTTCTTGTAAGTAAACTATGTACGTTATGACATATAATCGTAAATTTGAACGCTTTTCTTAATATCCGTCGCGGATGACAAACTATATGCAGCAATTTCAGAGGTAAAACTGTAGATAGACATGTCATCGGTCTCTCAAAAAATTCCTAGAGATGCAGAGAAGAAAATATGGCTGCAGCGGGCTAGATTAATTCGTAAAAACTTTATAACTATACAAAAAATGCTATATTTGTTCTGCACATTTTGTAAATAATGACGATCCGCCTGCAGAACATCCACTACCGAAAATGAAATTTTAGCTTTTGTTTTTAAAAAAAAAAATAGGCCTAATCGAATATGTATCAGCATTTTATCAGTAATCTGTTTCGTTTTTTTAAGGGGGGGCCTCACACAGCGCCTTATTATAGTAGCATACAGATTAATACAAATCCAGAAAGAGACTATGAGTAAGCAATTTTAAAAAAAATACGAATCAGTGAAGATTTCTTTTTATTCACAAACGCAATAACTGTCATATGACAGAGACATTACACAATGAACATGTGTTTACATCAAGAACGTTCAAAGTGACTTTCTTTACAGCGCATGAGTATTAAACACAGACAAAGAGTTCCCTTCAGGGGAAATAACTCCTTTTAAAATGGGGAATAATTAATAACATGTTCATAATTAATAATTTGTATGACAAAGGCTGTATGGCAAAAGCTATTCTTACAAGCAAGAGACAGAAAAGGCGAGCTAATTGGGACATTTATAAGTTGTGAGGCCATCCGTGCAAATTTGTCCTCGGGATCCCCTTGTGAATCAATTTTAATTCCAAAGGCTGTGGATGCAATGACGTCAATGGTATAACATCCGAACACTCTGTTAATTAAACGATTAATTTACTAAACAGAAACTCACAAAGAACTTTATATAGAAAGGTTTACTTAAGTTTTTGAAAATGAGTATTTGACATAATATTTCAAATAAATTTTATGGTTTACCAATGAAAGTAAATGCCTCCATGTGTAAGCTGATGAAATTAAATAAAAAAAGTACCAAACACGTGTCTGTCAGTGCCCTTCACTGTACCTACCCCACGTCTACCCCTGTCTGTCAGTACCCTTCACTGTACCTACCCCACGTCTACCCCTGTCTGTCAGTACCCTTCACTGTACCTACCCCACGTCTACCCCTGTCTGTCAGTGCCCTTCACTGTACCTACCCCACGTCTACCCCTGTCTGTCAGTGCCCTTTGCTGTACCTACCACAAATCTACCCCTGTCTGTCAGTGCCCTTCAATGTACCTACCCTAAGTCTACCCCTGTCTGTCAGTGTCCTTCACTGTACGTACCCCACGTCTACCCCACGTCAGTGTCCTTCACTGTCCCTACCCCACGTCCACCCCTGTCTATCAGTGTCCTTCACTGTACCTACCCCACGTCTACCCCTGTCTATCAGTGTCCTTCACTGTACCTACCCCACGTCTACCCCTGTCTGTCAGTACCCTTCATTGTACCTACCCCACGTCTACCCCTGTCTGTCAGTACCCTTCATTGTACCTACCCCACGTCTACCCCTGTCTGTCAGTGTCCTTCACTGTACCTACACAACATCTACCCCTGTCTGTCAGTACCCTTCACTGTACCTACCATACGTCCACCCCTGTCTATCAGTGTCCTTCTGTACTTACCCCATGAATTCCATCTCATCTGTCTCTTTGATTTTCCTTTTAATGTGCTGAACAAGTGCATCACCAGCTTCAGTAATTAACGAGTCCATCTAATTGTGTCGAGAAAAATCGTTACCCGGGTATTTTGTGCAAATTTGATAACAAGACAAAGATCATTACAATTAAACACAATTTCTCCAATCTTCAAATTTCTCAATCATTATGTTTTGTCTTTAATATAGGTATTACATGCTCAAATTCTTTGCCATGCTTGCTTTACATTTTTAAGAGTTGCTATTTCATTCAAAGATTCAAAGAATTATTTTTCTATTCCGTACTTCTGAGAAATAAGCCGACTGACAATGTCTTCCTCTAATTTATATATTTATAATTTTTTTTACATGGTATTATTTCAAACATGATATACTTTCTTAATTGCTACACGACTCGCATATTAACAGGTTACGTACCTTTCTGAGTTTGCCGGACGTAAAAGTGGGTGATAATATTGTCCGTGAACTTTTCCAAGCTTTGCCCTGCTGGGCGCTCAGATTTTCTTCCATGTCTCCACTGAAGCCCCGCAGAAACCTATACACATAAAAAATCAAATTTTGTTTTACAAAATCAAATACTAGTGTGTTATTTTAAAAAAATTATTATGAATACAAATTACCTAAAAATATTATTATGCAATTTTTATTAGATAAGTAAAAATTCTTTAAACATATGTTATTGTATTCTATTTTTGCCCTTAACAACAATATGTAGAGCCAAATTCATTTGGAATGAAGAGATTAATGAAATCAAAGTACTGAAAGTACTGATAGACGGAGGCTTCATGTTTGAGAGAACACAAAAGAAATATATTTGATACATTGCTGTAAAGAATATTTACAATAATGTGTATTTTTTTTAATTGTTTGTTAAAAGGATACTCCAATATTCATTGGTTGTTGGGATATTATATTCATGAGATTTGAACTTCAACTTGATCAAAGGTTTTTTTAGATCAAATACTTTTAAAATAGTTGGAATAAGAAATATTGTAAAAAATGCAGGCCGGGTTATAAAACGCCTTATGATAAACATAAAATTCTCACCTTTAATAAATATATATGGAAAAGTGATCCTTATGGTTATCATTATCATTTTATGTCCCCCAGGCCAGGTTTGATGAAATTCTTTGAATTTGAGTCCACTTTTCATCAAAAAAAGCTCCCCTCCCTTTTGAGTCCAAAAAATAGTACAATATATAATAAATGAATGTTTTTACTTGTGGCTGTGGTTCCCTGTACCTCAAACTGGTCCCCCCTTTTTCAAATTTCTGGATTCAGCACTGGGCCTCAAAAATATTTCAAGATATCTTATTTATAGGTCACAGAGACCTACTGTTAACATAATTATGACATCTTCTACCAAAGACGTATCAGCTACCAAAATCAAAATTTCTCGGCCTTATTGTATAAATGTTATGATATGAGCCAACAGGAAAAGAGAACAGCCAGATAATTGGACATGAAAACATTATAATACAGTTTGTCTTAAGCCTTTGTGATAAAAAATGGGGTGACATAGCTTGAAAGCAATATAGATTATTTTTTAAGTAATACAACTTTATTAACATGCAATAAATGTTCTTGAACACAATTTTTTGAGTGGAATAAAAAATTATGCTTCTTTACTTTATGTTACAGAACAAAAATTTTCACAAGACTTGATATTTCACAACTTTTTGTTTTTGTAGAACTATTGCTTACAATAACAAAGATATATATCTTGACAAATTTGACAACCAATATTTCAGGAAGTATTAAATGAGTATTATATCATATGACAGATTATGTTTGTTTAAAATGCTTTACTCGTATACCACTGTTAATGATTGTCCTTTTCAGTTTATCTGTTTAAAACAATCATTAACAATGAGACATGATTACAAATTATGTACAGAAAAAGTTATATAAATATATGACTATGATTTCTACTTTTCAGTAACTGTTAAAACAATCACTTTGCCAATGATGTAGGGTAAAAAAAAAATTGACACGAATACCAATGATAAGAAATACGTGTAAACTTGTATATAACAAAGTATTTGGGTTGTAACCAATCGAGTCAAACGTAACAGATGCATATTGATCTCAATATCAGAGTTGTTGTTCGTTTCTCTCTTAGAATGTATGGGCATACCTGTATGTCAACACTCAAATGTTTGTAGAAAGTGTAAATTTATTTTCAGTTACCTAAAAATTACATATAAAATAAACAATTCTAAACTATACTGTAAATAAAATATTCTAATAAAAATGTTGTGTATGCATTTTAATTCATCGATCCTTGTCAGATTACAAAACTAACTAGAAACATATTGACGCAAACGTTAAAAATCGGCCGCAAACCAATTAATTGGTCCTTTTATGAAGAAATTAGAAAAGGGATAAAAATGGAGATGGAGATTATCTAATCAAGCACAAAATTTTGCTTTGATTTTTTAAATTATCTTATATTTATCTGTTAATTTTTTATCCCTGTGACATTAAACATTTGCATATGACATTGTAGGATTTTCTTCAATACATAATACGGGTAAATTATTAATTTTTAAAAACTACTCAGTTGCGCTCCACACTCATTTGATATAAAAGAATTCTGGTGCCAGTGAAGTTTAATATTTAAGTAGTTTTTACAATTCTCTTAAAATAAGTTTAAACTATCTTTAGCTCGAGATAGTTTGATTTAATAAAAAACAAAATATACATGTGGTCCTTTGCTCTCCGAGGATGTTAAAAAAGAAACCCAAACTCCCTCTAATCCGCCACTTCATTTTCTCTTTCTTGTTTTCGTGTGAGATCTTTAAACATAGTAAAACACGTTAATATATAACAAAATCTATTAAAATACTGCCTAATAATGAATTAACATTTAATCATTTTTTTTTAAATCTTTAGGAAATGTATTTATAGATATACATATTTAAAATATATACAACAAATCCTGTTTATATAGACAAGTAAAAAAAACAGTCCTTTTGGAAGCGATAGTAGTTTCAACATGTAAAACTGTAGTTTATACATGATTAACGCATCTTTGTTTTATATAATTAGACTATGCCCGACAAACGTTCAACAAAACGCACTATTTCTTAATTTCATAATGATATCAGTGGCCGTCCGCCTCCTGGTAATGAAAACAATTCCACCGATAGATGGTGCTACGTGAAATTCTCATTATTTGACTAATGGGCAAATTTTCATATGGAGGCTGTTATACAATCCGATTAAAAAGGAATGTATTTTGTTTATATTTTCCCTGGTTGACACCAAAGGAACGGGGCTTAAGTATGGAAAATATGATAAGGGATGAAAATTGTGAGATGGGGTTCATGGACCTTATGTTAAGGAGACGTACTGCGCGATCTGGGAAGTTTTGGAATTGTTTGACAAGAATCTCCTTTAACATGTCAGTATCTGCCACAACCAACGTTGGAGATCGACCGCTAAAGTACCTGTTATAACCAGAAAAAACACACAAGTTTCATGTTGATGTCATAAATAAAAATTAAATTCAGATAAATGCACAAGATCATGAATTTTAAAATATAAATACCCGAACACATCTCCATATTCCCTCCACCACATCATGTCAGCTTGCGCAAATCCCTGAAATAAATTATCTATTATCGCTTAAAACCTTTTTTCTTTTACTTAAATGTTTCCATTTTTATGAAATTAAAATAAAAAAAATAATTTTCAACTTAAAAACATACTGTAGTTGGCCAATTGCATAAAAGGTCTACAAAGAAATATCTTTCTTATCCCCTTACATAATATAGTTACCTTTTTAGCGATGGTCATGTGATTTCCAAACAAAATATGAGGAGGTGGTCCTTTGACTCCCATTTTCTTGAAAATACCGAAATTCCATTTTGTGTATCTTTAAACATAGAAACGAAGTTAATATATATATTTAAAATCTTTGCCAGGCAAACTTGTAAATTCATAAGTTACTTTGGGTAGTAAATACAAAATTTGCAACATGACAACTTGACAAGTTTAAAAAAAACAGTCCTCTTGGAAATAGTAGCGTCAACATAAAATAGCAAGATTAAGATTTTTTTTTAATTAAGAAAAACGCTTCTCAAAACGAGAATTTCTTAATCAAAAGTAGCAGTGGCTGTCGGCCAGCAAAGTTGAGACATAGAGTCTACGATTTCTAGATTCACTAATGTCACAATTTCATATGAATAGAATAAATGAAGATTACGAAGAGTATTCAAGCTCAAAAGTCCATTGAAGAATACAAATCAGGAACAGAGCAAACACAGACCTCAAAAACATCAGAGTTGAGATTAGGTGTCATGGAGGAGTGAAGGCCCATTCCGACCCCCGTTACACCTGTCGTGTGCTCCTTGTCATGACCGGAAATTAACGGAAAAATCCGTCGACAATTCAGTGTGTAAATAATAGCCTAAACATTAGTTTTAAAAACGTCAGTTAGCATTTGATTGTATTTGCTGTCAAGGCCATAGAACTTGCAAAATGATGACTTTAAATGTGATAGCTGATATTCTTCTTTCATCAACTCCTTTATCAATGACTTGCCTTGTTTTAGAAATAGTTTATTCGTACAGCATGTTCTTGTGTATTGAATCAACTGAGAGATATAAACCCCATGTGCAGGTGATGAAGGTATATTGCTGCATATTAAGTAGGGGAAGTTGACGATTGTAAAGTTAAAGTCATCACGTTTGTCATAAAGCTTGGCTGTTACATTACCATTAACGTCTTTTCTCGTAAAATATCCAAATATGAAACAGGTGTGTCAGACTCTGTGGTGTCATTTATTTCAAGCTCCCCGGGATATATCTCCGAAATTGAGATGGGGGGGGGGGGGGGGGGGGGGCGAACCCCCCTTAACATTTGCACATGGTAAAGAACTAAAATAAATTGGAAGCCTTTAGAAACACTTCTTAGATTTGTAGAGACATATGAAGCTTTAAAAGGGAGGGAAAAGTTCTAACCCCTTCCTGAAGATAATATTTTTAGTTTTGGGAAAGGAATTTACTTTATTTTCGCGTGTCAACAAAATTTAGATTTTAAAAAAGGCACTGACATCCTCATTCCGCCAACCTTGGGGAAAAAAATCCTGGATCCGTGTCTGTGTAAATGAAAATGTCTTCCTGTGAGTGTGTGTCTTAAACGTAAACTGTTATCAGATTGACCCTAAATAAACATGAAGCTTTATATATAATTTATAGAAATGCTTAAATAATACTTACATGAGAAATAGGACCAGAACACAGACAATAAAAATTAACAGTCCGGTTATCAGGATTCCTAATGTCGCCACCATTCTCTTCCAGTTGTCAAGCACAGATAAGTAAAGAACATATCAGGATATATTTTTATAGACCTCAATTCTAGATTTTGACCCATATGAGATGAAGGTCTCGGGTTTTTCTTTTGCGCGATAAATACCCTTTATGACTGCTTTATCTGTTTTATTATATAACTCCGTTTTCAACATGTTTTAGGGTAATTTAAGTTCAGTTAACAGTAGCTTTGTGCTGGACAACAATGTAAATTGCAGTGTACCTGCAAGTAAACTTGCAATATCATCATTATAAATCAGTACCTTTCCTAAGTTCTTATATCTACATTGTTTGAAGGTGATTGAATGCTAGGACACTGTTTATTTAATATTTTTAGTTTGTTTAATTGGAAGTAATAAAAAGAGAAAACCAAAACAAAGACAAAACAAATTTCAAAAAAAGACAGTTGATACATATATTTGATGGTGTAGCTAATCACTTGAAGATATAACATGGTCTCAAAATAAGTCCATTCCACTGAGTTCTTTTCGTTTTAGCCCCGATGTTTTAAATAACTGGTCTCTGTAATTATGTTTCTGTAGAGATAACGAAAAGTATTAGAGTTCAAAAGTCAATTAAACATTACAAATAAGGACACGGATCTCTTCTCATGAGTAGGCGTAAGTTCTTAGTCTGTACACAACTTTGGGGAAAAGGCAAGTGTTTTCAATTCAATTCAATTCTTTATTGGCACTATTTAAAGCACATATTTATTAATCATAAAGAGTTAAAAAAATAATTATTTTGTATAAGAAATTTTATTTTTTAAAAATGTAGGCACGCGTTGTGCGTTGTGCGGGGGGGGGGATCCCTCCCGTTTTTTTTTTATTGCAAAATTGCGTTTTTTGTTTAAAAAGGTGTATAATTTATGGGCTAATGCCCACTTTCAGCATTTCTCTTCTCGGCTTAATATTTTGGTCACTCAATTACTTACCCCCCCCCCCCCACCCCCACCCTCACCATTCACTTTTTAAAAACGATGCCAGGTCCCGGATAATTTTTTGTTTGAAATAGATAATATTTCAATAAATCTTCAAACAATATTCATCTTTAAAAATATATTTTAGATAATGAGAAATATTCAGTAATTATGACGTGCGATCAACCAGTCAATGCTTCTTTAATTTGTTTCCCCTTTAATTGCATGTATTCAAATATAATATTAATGAACATAAAAATTTGAATTTGTAAAATGTTCGAGTATTATACTTAAAGTATTCATAAGACTGTTCACTCATTGTCGAGAGGTGAGAAGTGCATGTAGATGTGTTAATCGTTTTAATGACTTGCAAAAGCTTAATAGTTTTAAATCGAATTCTTGTGAACCATATTACAGGCAATAAATCTAGTAATTTTTATAAATTTTCTAAAATATTTCCATTAAAATTAAAAATGCGTGTGTTATAATGCAAATGGTGTTTGTACATAACCCATTCATAAAATGTTTTACGTGTGTAAATTTCTTTCTTGTTCAAGGCGTCGCACGTATATAAAATCATCGCTTACTGTGTCAAAATTGTCATTTTTTGAAGATTTGTTTAAAACTAAGGCACTTGAAACCTTTAATTCTCTGCATATTACTTAAATGAATACATCAATATAAAGATAAAAGAAATATATAAATTTTATTCTTTTACAAAACATAAATTTCATTGAAGTTTATTGACGTCTAAATTTTAACAAAAAAATGGAGCCAAGGAAAACCAAATATCTAGGTCTTTAAGACAACTGATCATTATTTAAAAAAAAAATCTCTTATACATGTTTTGATAATTCTTTTTATGATAATTATGATTTCATAACTGATAAATTGTTGACAGTACGCCTGTTGGTCGGGGGCTCTATCCCTTCACTCTCTACCTGCGTAAAGTATTTTAAATACGGAAAAAATTTCCTTCAGATACTGGTTGCCCCCCCCCCTCTTCCCCCGACTTTCAAAACTTTTGCTACGAGCCTGTTCCAGCCCCTAGCCCCTAGCCATATATGGCTTTTACTCATAGGAAAATTACTTTTCATTCCAAATTCTCACAAGTACATGTATGTATAATTTTGTATGTACATCATTTGGTTTTAATGTTGATATCTAATATAACACTTGTGGATGTAGAGGGGGAGGGAGGCTGTGTCCAAAATTATAATAAAAGATTTACTCAGTCAGTTTTGTTTAGTGTGGCTGTGGGGGCCTAACCCGACCCCAATCTGCCCCCTTTTTCAAGATTTCTGAATCCGCTACTATATATGTAAATGCTTTGAACTTGAAAATACAAATGGCTTTGCGTAATACATCTGTTCGAAAGACGGTGAAAGGGGAAAACATGCAAGTGTGCTCGTGCTTCCTGTGCTTTACATCCTTTATTTAGGTTCAAGTGTGATATTAATTTGATCCGCCACATGTCACTGTAGTCTCTAAACCAAATAAAATCTGCGATCTGCGCATGCTTAGTACCTAGCGGAGAGGTCTTAGTCTTAGGCCCAGTCTTACACCGCTTTCTGAAACGCGATTCAGGCCCGTCTAAATTTTGGCGTATTTTTTTTAGTCGGACTAACTTAAGCCAAAATCTACGACTTTTTGAGAAACGAGCCCCAGAGGTGAAACAGGTGCCATGGAGGAGTGAGCATCCTCTGCCGACCGGTCACACACGTTATGTGCTCCTTGTCATAATCGGGAAACCGTCGACAATTCAGTATGTAAATAATAGTAGTCATCAATTGAGTTCAATATACAGTCGTTTGTATTTTCTGACAAGGTCATTGTATCGACTATAAAACTTACGAAATGATGACTTTAAACGAAACTGCTGATATCCTTATTTCATCAACTTGTTTGTCTTTAACTCACCTCGTTTTTTGAAATTGTAAATACATAGAGCATGTTCTTGCGGATCGAATCAAAAGAGAAGTATAAACCCTGTATGCAGGCAATAAGGGTATATATGGCTGCATAAGTAAGGGAACTTGACGATTGAAAAGTCATCACGTAAATCAAAGCTTTGTTAGTTTTTTAGTATAATATTTTTCTTGTAAAATATCCAAGCATGAAATGGACTCTATGTCAGACTCTGTAGTAGCTTTCATTTCAAACTCACCAGGATATATGGTATCGACATAAGAATGGAAATAATTAATCATTGTTAATTGACAATACATCTATAAATGGCGAGTTGAAGGCCACAGAGAATATCTTCTATTCACATATGTTTTTGAACAAATTCTACTTCCGATGAGAATAAAAATAGGTCTGCCAATAACGGGGTGCAACGGTACCCATGGGAATTCCAATGGATTGTTGGTCTGCCAATCAGAAACTCGAGTATCTTTTTAATTTCAACTTCAGAGTACTTGTGTGTACATGTACAAAGAAGTTTTTTCCTCAGTATATGCGTATCATTCAAAGATATGAAGCTACCACTATTCAACTAAACCAAAAGAATTTTGTGCCATACACTTTTAAAAAGTTCATAAACTGTATATCACACTTAAATATGGTGTTTCATTTTCGGCTGCCACTGTAGTTGCACTTGGCAGCTTCTCGTTGCACACACCCCTGTAGTTCTCACTAAGTGATACCACATTATATACGATCATCATCACTACAAGTGCCTAGCTAGATCACTTAATTTCAGGCAATCGGCGAAGAACCTGTGACGATATTAATTTGTGATTGGACCCCTCATTATGTGATTCTGGGGCACTTTATTTATACAAACTTTGAAAAAAGAAACTGATTTTTATCAAAATGATCCGTAATATTTATTTTGTTCTTCAGTTGGGATGTTTAGTGTCGGTAGTTTTATCCCTTAGTATTGGAGTCGGGAAAAGTAAGTAATAAAGTACATTAAACTTTATTCAGATCAATTACTACCATAAATGGTTTTTTTTCTTATTTCTTTTTTGGTTATTTTTTGAGTTATGAAGACCATATTATTATATGAAAAATGTACAAGTTTTTCAAATGTAAAGTAAACACATGTATTAATATTCATTCCAACTACGACCAGTCTTTTATATCATCATCTTTATCGTGGTATAGCTAGTATACTGCGTTAAAAATTGAACAGGTTTCTAACCTATTCTTGTACGAGAACCCCAGAATTCCTTCTTCATAAAGGACTTCATTGTTAATAATATTATATAATCTTACCAAATTCTGCGGTGCACATTTTCGACGAAACAATCTATGGTGTATGTCTTAAAATCTTTTTTCAGACGTAACATATTATTCGAAGCCATACGAACAAGACCTTTTTGAACTGTTCAATTGATTTTAAAATAGAATAGGTATTATATAGATTAAATGCATGCAGCAAGTTGATTGATAGACCTCAGAAATATTCACTAATCAGGAAAGATTTTTTTTATTAGGACAATCATTAAAACACCGGTTCTTTAACTCGCTTAAGCATACTGGAAATTGGTTTATATATATAAATATAAATATAATAAATCTTTAATAGAAACAGAAAGTTAAAAAAAATAACACATCGTTAACTGTAGACGCACCCTTAATAATGCAGAAATCAAGATCCTATTTCCTCTTTCGCCTATTAAACAATTTGTGTAGAGTTTTGTGGGTTTGTTGTTTACTAATTGGTATATGGCTGAATCGTGGTCACATTGACGTTTGAAGTGTGCATTTTGCGGTCAATGAATACTAGGCGTAAAATAAATGATTATTATGGTTCTTTAGCTGATGCGCTTGTCTAATATTTTGGCTGATTCAGTAACCTTTGATATATCCTTGAATATGTTTACAACTCCTGTTCCAAAGATTCGGGTTTTGTACTTGATAACACAACCAGAAGGCTTTTATTAAGAATTCAAGGCCAGAAATGATACATCCAAGTCAAACTCTCTTAGCTCACATTGAAACTAAAGAAAACTGTGACTGAGCGAATTTAATATTTGGACAGAATTGTTTTCACGTGTGAAAGGACAGAAATGTGGACGAAAATTCCCTGTATTCTCTTAGTTTGATCGAAGCATTATTATATAACACCGTTGTTTTCTTTTTACAAAACGCTTCTTTATATATCCCCTTTCCTTATCGATATATACTGTAAGATGTAACTACACTCTTGAGTAAAACTCTCCATCATTTTTGTTTTAGTTGTTCAGAGAAGGGAAAAACCAGACCGAGTACGTCGCTCACCCCAAGATGGCAATGACTTACCGGTAGGTATACATACTCAGTATTCTTCCAGGGTCCTTCTCATTGGTCGTATTCGGGTTTTTTTTCATCACTTTTTATTTTTATTCAGTGTTTTTCTCTGATTAATCATGAAATATCCTTACTATAAGAACATTTTCAGTTTCTATACTTTGAATACTAGAAAGTATCTGTAGCTAACGGGAAGTATTTATTGTACTATCTACCTTTATAAACATTTCTTCTGCCACTGTTTCGAATACAAAACTAACATTTAAGCTTTCTCCTATTCTTGCACATAATTTTAAATTTGTTCAGAAAACCCAGTATCGATATGAAACTCGATCCAAAGCCATGATAAAAAGCATCAGGAGTTATTCACCTATAGAATCTTACAGATCTAACCTCTTTCCTCTAATTCAAACTTTAAGGATTATGTATATCGTACTCTTCGTTCAATATGCAAAACTCAGAATTATTGAAGATATATTTCAACAATACTGGATCTTGGTTTAGATTTAGCTTTATATGATAAACGTATTGACTTACTTTTCAAATTCAACTTCTTATACTTATACACCAATATACCCTTATCGTCTGCATATATAGGGTTTATATCTCTAAGTTGATTCGATACACGCCTGTGTATGCTATACGTATAAACATTTTTAAAAAGGGATAATTTATTGACTTACAAGTCGACGAAACAAGAATATCTACGGTCTGGTGTAAAGTCACCCTTTCGTAAATTCGTTAGTCGATATAATGACATTGTTAGCAATTTATACAACATATCATTAGTCATTTTTCATACTACTTGTTAGGCCATTATACGGGACGTTCAATAAAGAATGTCATCAGCTCGATGACATATAACATAGAAATCATATGCCATTAAGTTTGACTTTCTCTAATTATTGAATCTTTAATGAGTTGATAACAGTTTAAGTGACCACTTTTCATCACATAATTCCATTGTGAGGAGCTGGAAAATAAGGGCTACTCAAAGACACTGCATTTAAAATGAATATAGTCAAGAATCAGTAAACTAGAGTGAAAATAAACGCTTCATTAAGCTGCAGTAAAAATTGTTAAGAATCCCAAAGATATATTAACTGAAATATGTGAAAATTACAGCAACCAATACCTGTTTTATACACACATGAGCAGGTGGATTTCAATGAACAAAAATGATATAATGAGCATCAAAAATGGGTGCCGTCCTTGGCTACAAGGACATACAACAACCAATATATATTTGCAAAAATTCAACAAATTATAACTGATATTGTTTGATTGTCTTTAAGGCACATAGCAAATTTGATAGACATCATTTTGGGGGTAATGCACTCTTTTTTAAAGAAAAATTCGATAGTAAAAAAGTTTAATACTCAAAGGTAACCCAATATTTTGAAAAATGAGTGAAAACGACAGCGTGTAGGAAAATCTAAACAATTATTTAAAAATTTAAAAAAATGTTCTTATCCATGTTTGTCTGAAATTCAAACAGATAGTGAAACTTGAATCCATTTTGCTTTAACCCCCTTCCCCGCAGTCACGCATTTTAACGCATATACCTTTTCTTATTTCTAACGCAAAATCACGCATATACCGTTTCCCCGCAATCTCACATTTTCACGCACTTTAAAGAGTTCATTTAAACTTAAATTAAATGCCAATTTCCTTCTATTTTATACCTGCAAAAATCTCCTAAAATAAGAAAAGTTATTTTTGTATTAAAATATAACGTCAGAATATTATTTACGCTAAACTTTAGAGAAACGTGTACCACGCTAAAGGGTGCTTGCGGGGAAATGGTAAATTTCTACTTCTATGACGTGGACATTAAGCGTATGTTACATAACAATTCAGTAAGTTGTAAAGAGTTAAACCCTCAAAACAAATTAACAATGAGATACACTTGACAAAACAGCAAAGGGCTGAAAAGAGCAAAGGATTGCAAAAGCACAACAACAGTTTTATATGCTATTTTCTCAAATATTAGTGGTCTTGTTGTTCAAATTCGTATTGGGGGAGTAATTTCAATTTCTGTAAGAGTCTAGAAACAAAATGTTTGCAAAAAAGTGAGTGGTTTATGAGAGGAAGGAGCCAGAAAGAGGAATTCACTACATTATATTTCCTCATGACAGCGTCCAAACCCACAGGCCATGAAGAGTAAAGGAGTTCTAGGGATAAAAAAGTTAATGTTTTGTCACACCAAAAATATTGGCCAGCACTTTCAACGTTTGACTTGTTTCATTTCCTAAACTTGGAAAAAACACCTTTTAGAAAGAAAAAACAAGTACAGGAAATCATAGAATACAGAATAAGGAATTCACTACATTACATTTCTTCATGACAACTTCCATACCCACAGGCCATGAAGAGTAAAGAAGTTTTGGGGATAAAAACAGAAGGTTAATGTTTTGTCACACTAACAAAATTTGCCAGATCTTTCAACCTTTGACTTGTTTCATTTCCCAAACTTAGAAAAACAACCATCAGAAAGAAAAAAAACAAGTACAGCAAATCATAGGATCTGCCATATTCCAGTATACGAAGGGTCATGCTCAAAAATGTGTTCTAAAAACAATTAGAAATTGAATAAAAATGTTACGGACATGTGTTTTCATTAAAAGAGAATATTTTAGTTTAATCATGAAGACTAAATCATAGAAAAGCGTTTTTTTTTTTTTTTTTTTTTTTTGATTTCTTTCCGAGCACCGATGACATTATTTATTGAACGTCCCTCATATATCGACGGATTTTTCTGTTATTTCGCGATCATAACAAGGAGTACATGGGGGGTTTGAACGGTCTACAGGGGATGTTCATTATTCCCTGACACCTGGGGGTCGTAGCATAAAGGCTACTTAAGTCTAAGACCGTGCTTAAGTAGGACTAAAGTACAGTCTAAAACGTAAGACCGTAACTAGAAGCGTGCTAAGATTTGGTAATCTTAGCAGAACTTAGGCGGCCGGTAGAGGTGACTTAAGTATATCTTAACTTTCATGTACATATATTTATAATTATTTAATGTTGACTTTCGATGTTAAAATATTCCTCTGTTCATATTATGCATTAAAGAAAATAATTATCTCTATTTGACGCCGATTTAAGAATTTTACTTTTTCGTTGGGGGGGGGGGGGGGGGGGGGTTGATCACTGATTCCAATATCACTCCCAACAGAGCATACATGTAAATAAAAAATTTAATTTTAGGGATACGTCTGAAATTAGTGGGACCTCGGTTATAGAAGTAAAATAAACCATGGATCTGTATGTTCGTTTTGAAAAAATGAGTTGAAATGATTTGTTAAAAACAGAAAAGAAAGAGGATGATGACAGTATATCATAAAACTTCTGCAGTTTTTGCTTCTGACATGCATGGCCTGATACATAGCGGGGATTCAACATGTATTGAACTCTTTAGAGTTTCAAATTTAAGTAGATAGACGGTCGATTATCTTTTCTTGTCTGCGATAATAACAGGGTAAGTGAACATTTGTCAAAACAAAAGGAAAACTGAAAACATCTCAGGTGATAAAATAATTGCCGTAAATTTACAATGAACCACAACTCGCCACTTTCTGACCGTGCGGTATTTGCTTCCAAACATTCCGATTAATTCATAACATAATTATAAATTTTAATACGAAATCTAATCTAACATAACTTAAACCAATAGGCAAGGACGTCAACTTCAATATGTAATGAATTAAAACCCTAACCGAATCACTTTTAGCAATATATCTATATAAAATCAAAAAACATAGGTTGGCTCATATGAAATATTTTAAACATAAGTTTGACTTAGCTAAGACCTAGCTTAGTTCGCTTTATGTTACGGTTTAAGACATACTTAAGTAGTACTTAGACAGGTCCTAAGATTGTGCCTAAAACGTACTTACGACCCTACTTAAGTCAAAAACTTAGCAAGCTTTATGTTACGAGCCCCTGATCCCAGTTTTGTTGGTTCAGAGTTCCCTGTCTGTTCCTCTGATAATTTGTGTTGTTTAAATGGGCCTTTGTACTTCATTCTCCATATATTAATATTTCATATTCCACAACATACCTTTTTAAACAATGTTAGTTTTGTTTAATTCATGGAATATCGGTGGAAGTACGAAAAAAAAAATCGGCTGTTATACATACAATTAAGGGCCGCCAAAAATGCCAAATATATAGAAATACATAGTTCTTGATCAGCCTATAGTCATAACGCCAACAATGCAAACGAACATTATTTTCAAGAACTTGAGGCGACATTTATTTCATAGGATCTTTATTCGTGGTGGAATCAAATTTGTTTACATGTTTATCCCATGCATCAGAAATACAAGATATACTAGAGGTTCAAAATTTAAGGAATATACTTGAAAATAATTTAAAAGTATTCTTCAAAGTTCTTTACCACAATACGTCAATGTTTTTTTGTAATTTCTGATGAAAGCATGACAATTCATTCTCTTTCTTTCCCATGCTTCAGCTATGTTGTCAATAAATGCTTAGTCTTGGTTTTGACATAACAATTAATAGACATTTCCTTTAATTTTTTTTTTAAAAGTTAATAAATCATTTTCAGGTAGAATAAATTCCATTTTTCTGAATGTATGGCCTCTAGTTCTGATAAGAACCAAGAGAGAATTTCAAAAGTTAACCTGAAACACTAATTTCACCAAGACAATGAGGGTACATTTGAAATTACAGTGAAATTTCTTAATATCGTCGGGTCAATTATTCGTGCTTTAAAAAAAACATTGGTTTGTGGGAACTTGGTTCGTTGTTAGAGAAGTTTTAAGTTGTTAATTTAAAAATTGTTCATTAAAAATATATGCATGGAGAAAACGAATAGTATTCAAGCTCAGAAGTCCAATAAACAATACAAAATAGGTGCAGAGCAAACACGGAACTCCGAAACATTAGAGGTTGGGTCAGGTGCCATGGAGGAGTTCAAAAACATCCCCTGTCGACCGGTCACACCCGCCATGTGCTCCTTATCATGATTGGGAAATAAGGGGAAAATCCGTCGTCAATTCAGTATGTAAATAATGGACTAACAATTAGTATGGAAAACTCAGTCACCATTTGACTTAATGACAACTTGTATTTGCTGACAAGGTCATTGTATCGATCATAGAACATACGAAACGATGACTTTAAACGATACTGCTGATATTCTTTTTTCATTAAATTGTTTATCGATAATTTACTTCCTTTTAAAAATTGTACATACTGTCTTCCCACAAAATTTTATTGAATAGAACATTTGGTGTTATGACTAAAAATACTCATTACACCAAATTTTCTATTAAATAAAAATTTGTGGGAAGACAATAGAGTATGCTCTTGCGTTTCGAATCAACTGAGACTGAGATATAAACTCCGTATGCAGGTGATGAAGGTATATTGCTGCATAAGTAAAGGAAGTTATTGTCCCCCGCTTTCGCGAAAGCGAGGGGACATTAAATCTCATTCGTCTGTCTGTCTGTCCGTCTGTCCGTCAATCTGTCAGTCTGTCAGTCTGTCCGTCACAAAAACTTTAACCTTGCCCATAACTTTTGATTTAGTGGAGCTATGACTTTCATATTTCACAAGTGTGTTCCTTGTGACAAGACCTTTCTTTGGGTACCACCAAATTTGACCTTTTGACCTTGGAGTTTGACCCACTTTTACACAAAAATTCCAAACTTTTACTTTGGCCTTAACTTTTGAATAGTAGGTACTAGGACTTTCATATTTCACATATGTATTGTTTGTGGCAAAACCTTTCATTGAATAACAACAACCTTGACCTTTTGACCTTGATTTTGGAGATTTACGTACTTATGAAAAAACTTTAACCTTGACCATAACTTTTGAACGGTGAGGACGAAGGCTTTCGTACTTCACATATATAATCCTTGTGAGAAGACGTTTCATTGGATACCAATAACTTTTGCCCTTTGACCTTGACCTTGGAGTTTTAATTACATTCTAAAAACTTTAACCTTGGTTACAACTTTTAAACAGTAGATACTAGGACTTTTATATTTCACATATGTATTCCTTGTGGCAAGACATTTCATTGGATACCAACAACCTTGACATTTTGACCTTGACCTTGGAGATTTATGTACTTATGAAAAAACTTTAACATTGACCATAACTTTTGAACGGTGAGGACTAGGGCTTTTGTACTTCACATATGTAATCCTTTTGAGAAGACCTTTCATTGGATACCAATAACTTTTACCATTTGACCTTGACCATGGAGTTTTAACTACTTTTTAAAAATACTTAAACTTTGGTCACAACTTTTGAACGGTAAATACTAGGACTTTTTTTTTACATGTGTATTCTTTGTGGCAAGTCCTTTCATTGGATATCAACAACTTTGACCTTTTGACCTTGACCTTAAAGATTTATGTACTTATGAAAAAACTTTAACCTTGACCATAAATTTTAAACAGTAAGGGCTAGGGCTTTCATACTTCACATATGTAATCCTTGTGAGAAAACTTTTCATTGGATATCAACAACTTTGACCCTCTGATCTTGACCTTGGAGTTGACCTACTTTTAAAAAACTTTTTACTTTGGCCATAACTTTTTAACGGTCAGGATTAGTGTTTTCATCCTTCAAAAAAATCAACTTCAGAGTTACTTTCTAAATAAATGACATATGATAGGATGTTCATATTACACACAATATGTCATAAAAATAAAGTTTTTGTGACGGACAGACTGACAGACTGACAGACTGACGGACAGACGGACAGACAGACAGACGAATGAGATTTAATGTCCCCTCGCTTTCGCGAAAGCGGGGGACAATAACATCTCACCCACAAAGACACCGAAAGCGGGGGACCACAATTCTTTGAATTTGCTTGTTGTATTGTAGATATGAATTCATGAGTTTCTTCATACACTAAAACATTAAAAATTAATACCAACGAAATTAAGTAATTTTACAGTTCATATTCCTTAGATTCCAAAAATTTGATTGAAAAAAAAGACATAGCTGCGCATGATGGAGATTCATTATAGTAATTTGTCATTAATTGTGTGTACATGTAGCCGACATTACTGCCCTTTCGTTTGGTTTGTAAAACATTTATCTGAATGAGCAATACGCTTCCGAACAATGTACCACAGTTTATAAACGGTTAAAAAAGTTCCAACGTGAGATAAGAAATTATGTACAGCGTTATCTATTCGGTTGTGGTTCTATTGCTTGCCAATAATAATATTTGAGCTTCACAATGATAAAGAATACATCGTTTTCTTTAAAAGAGCTTTGCACTTCTAGCTTTTAAAGTTGTTATCGTTACATTTTGTATCTCTGTAACAGGGGAAAAGAAATTGTTTAATGATTTATCTTCTTACTTCACAGGTATCTCTTGTCAATTACCTCAAAATCCTTGGAAGGAAAATCCTTATAAAATCGATTTAAATGAAAATGAGTTCATAACATTTAGAAAAGTCATTAAACAATGTTTAATGTTTAAACTAAATTAATGTATGGTGCACCTGTAGTCTAATTAAAATTATCAATCTCTTGTTCAGAATTCGAAAATTATTTATATCAATTCAAAAAAAAAAAGTTAAACTGCTTAATTCACAGAATGAAGTATGAGTTAATATGATCGAACAAGTTCATAATCAATACGTCTACTTATTCCCTTACATTCTTATATTGACCCTCTTTCCCTTGTGCATTTCTAAGCTTGAATCTGAGAAGGTAGATTTTCTGGTAGAGGTCTCAATCCCAATGAGTTCTTGAACCTCTTATCTCTCATTTCTTTGATTGCAATAAAAGTTCTACAAAAGTAATAAGCCACTTATTGTCTTTTAATGATTTAATTGTTTCCCAGATATTAACTTCTAGAAACCCGCTAAGTTCTCCACAGTGTTCTACTGTAAGACATTCATGTGCTCATTATGGAGGACGGTAGATGTTTTACGTCACAACATATCAAATGTGAATGCTTTAGATTAGATGTAAACATTAACAACTGCTCACTACAGAGGTGTTCGAAAATGAATACCAGTCACCCATCCTCTATATAACTTCTTCATCTATTCATTATTACCTCAAATAATATATATGGATTGGTTGCTTTTAAATTCATTCTTATAAAAAAACATTTATTAAAATAAGACACAAGTTATTATCATTATTTTTTTTTTTGCTAGATCTTTATTTCAAATCCGAGTTGCCATTTTTATTGAGATTGCCTGATCCTGAATATGCTTACTATTATAAAAAATAATCAAGGTCACTCATAATATGTAAGTTTTACTAGTACGAACAAGGGGACGTTTTCAAATTGTATGTTAAGCATGCAAATCTTAAAAAACCAAGCCTTCCTCGAGTAGAGTAGAGTAGAATCATATCATGACTCCAACATGAACTGGATGAAGCAGAGACCTGTTAAATATTTTAGAGGGCTTGTTGCATAATAATATGATTACTTTGAATTATAATATCCTCTCTACTTAAATTTTCCTTCCTATTTTAAAAAGCCCCTTCCAATGACAAGTGGATCAAACCAAAGAGGAAGTTATCAATCTTCAACAGGATACGGAAGTGACGCAGGAATTCAAATACCGAATTTCGAACCCGAATATCGCTCATATGACGTTTCACAAGGACAAAGCAGTTCAGGCCAAACAGATTCTGGAAGTAGCAGCAGGATCTACAACAGTCGACCGGACACTTCAAGGCAAACAGTGCACGAGTCCAGGGGAAGAACTTCCTATACTAATTATAATCCTGGTAACACGGGTGGCGGAACTACTATTTATAGAAACAGTGGCGGTAGTTATTATCCGTCTGGAAGCGGTTCTGTGGTTTATCCTGTAAGCAGGGGCCGCGGAACGTCGCCTGTCACCGGCAGAATGTCCAATGACCCGGTATAACCTTATTTTACCTTTTTTTCTTCATAATTGTAATTTTCATCATTGATTCTTTCTATGAACGATGTTTTTAACAGGCCTTACTGTATTTTTTTTTCTCATTGAAGAATTGTCCGGCGGCTAGCGGGTATGACGTTTACATTAACGGCTTAAGGTGCAATGAGGCCGTCCGAAGTTTAGGGAAGTTTATTTGTTACACGTATGAAAGAAGTTCCAAAGACTGCTGTGAGTCGTGCCTTGCTGTCAAACAAAGCTACAACAGAGGCGAGTGAGAACATCTTTTAATGTTTAACGTCAAATTTAAGTTAATAACAAAGAAGTTGTTACTTGTCTTGAGTTCTAATTCTTTATTGGTCTTTTAATCGAGACACTTCTACTAGTTCACAATATAACCTGCTGCATTTCAGGATGTGAATATGGAGACCGAAGTTACCAATGTAGAAACATTGAGCCATTCGATTGTTATGTGGACAGAACCCGGGAAATCTGCTGTGATCGGTGCGCTCAATACTTACGTCAGCTTAACACAGGTATGCTCTTAGGACTGTCCAAATTTACTCAATCACACGTAGATAAGGGGGAAAACTATGTCAAAACTTCCGGTTAAAGAGTGTTTGATAAAAATTCTCTTTCTGGAGTTTCCACGGGTCTAAACTATAGTTTTATTGTGTGAAAACTACAATAGCGAAACTCTTCATTTTTATACCATATATAGCTTACATTAACTTCAGTGTACATGCAAAGTTTGGGGAAAATCTACCGTCCATCTATGTTTGAGGGACCGTTTCAAAATACAGGTATATTTACTATTGGATTATATAGGAAAATGCAAATTATACAAATACTACAATAGAAATTTTGTTCAAACTACTTACGTCAGTTAATACAGCAAAGAATTAGCAAATTTTACTATTTTTATAGAGTATTACAAAATATGACGTACACAGAGGATTCAAATGAAAACATTATAAAAATATTGGAGATATTCTCAAATATCTATGTTTTAAATTTCAAGAGCGTATGTTCATTACTTTTTCTTTAATAATATTTTTATTACCCCTTTCTTTAAGAGCTACAGATTATCATAACATCAAAAACACACTGCAACGACGTCAACCTACCTATCAATTGAAAATCGGTTAAAAAATCCGTTATATCAAATTGTAATTACATTTTTATACCTATAATTTCTTAATTTTGTTTAATTTTAATAATTAAGCGAAAAAGTTGCATTAAAACAGTAAATAAGCTCCATTTTACTATGATGCGCGAAATATTGCGCAATGGAAACTATAGTCGGCCCCCTTAATTCCGCCGATTCACAATTTCTGTTCAGTTTGCAAGTCGAAAATTATGCGGATTTCTTGGTTTGCAATGTCTGAAATGCAATTAAAATACCACCAGAAAACCCACATTGTGTACGTAACTGAATAAAACTTATGCGGGAAAAGTTTGTCAAAGGTGTTTAATAATTATTAAAATGATAACTATTTGATTCAAAATAACACTGCCTATCAAATTGAAAGAAGTGTTTAGCATTTAGTCGACAAATCACAAAGCAAAAGCGCCAAGATTTGTTTTGGGAAAATTTAGAACTTTTTGAAATCAACCCGGATGTCGCGCGTCATTGCGACGTCGACCTTGAAGCCGATTGGTCGCAGTCACGCACCATTGCCCTTGAAGTCGATTGGCCGCTAGAATCTCTAGGTCAGTAGTTCACGATACGTACAATAGATCACTTCCACATGCTGATGTCGTTAAATTACTCAGCGGGTAATTGATCTTAAGAGGGAAGTAATGAGGAACTAATTGTCGCGAATTCCTGTCGCCGTTGAGTTTGTCGACATCTTGAACTTCAAAGACAGTAGTACATGCAGTAAGGCACCGGTAAAGTGCATATGGTTACCCTATCAAATTTGAGACAGAAGTTTAAAGCATTCTTTTAATATTGTTTCGTGAGGTGATCTTTTAGCTTCTTTTGTTCAAAAATCAAAAGAGCTTATTATAAAGGCATCTCAATGGTAGTCCATTCGTCTCTCTGTCCGTCTGTCTGTCAGTTTTAATGCAAAAGTTTGATTCAAAAGTTAACGCTAATTCTCTTTCATCATGTACACCATTTCATTTTCAATATAAATTAGGATTTAACTAGTCTTGTTTTCATTAAGACTTCTTGCTTATAGTTCAAATCAAATTAACAGCCTCATAATACGAATTTTTCCGTTGAAAACGAAGTTTCTTCTTATCATCTTGTACGAAAAGTTAAGTTTGTCGGAATTTTATTCCAGGGGTTTCAAACTGTGCCTATGGTGACCTGACCCCCCGCTGTACAGTCGTCAACCAGAAGCGCCATCTATGTTATTTACCAGAGAATCAGAGACTGTGTTGTATTACATGTCCACGAGTTGCAACCGATTCTACCCCAGGTAATGGCGCCTTCAACATTACTTACACTTGTTTCCATGAAAATCATTTCTGTAGAAGCCAGGAAAAAAAGACTTTCTTAATCAAATTAAGTCTTAAATTAGAAAATTAAAAGCGGTAAGAAACTTTAACATTTTTTGTCATTTTGAAATTTTTTTTTCGTCCTTATAATTTTTTCTTCAATGTGACATGGTACGTCATTAACAATTCCAGGCTGTCGGTGGGGTGATCAGAACCCTGAGCTTTGTACACCGTATACCCCTGACGGTCAGCTGAGGATCAACTGTTACCAGAGCTCAGTCAGTCAGGTGTGCTGTAGAACATGTGACCACATCAGAAACAGCGTCCGCAGCCCTGTAGCGGGTAAGAGAACTGAAGAAAGAGAGATAACTCACACACGAATTCTTACACTGAAATGAAAATTGCTGTGATTTTTTCCTTATTTCTTTAAAAAATATAAACTAAATTACTTCTATTCTTTAACTTTGTTTAAGCAAATATATTACTAGTAGTTCATTTTAACAAGACTTTTTTTTTTTGCTTATTTTTGATTATGAGTCGGATATTGCATTTTCACTAATTTTCATATTACTGTTATAGTTTTTTTTTCGTTATTTCTATGTTTTTCATAAAAAAAATATGGATAGTATGTAAAAATAACATATTGAAGAACCTAATTAACAAGTAATTATTATTATTTTCAAATTAATAATATTTTTTCAAAGAGAATTTCAAAGCTAATACTCAACGTTTTATCTGCAACAGGTTGTGAGTATGGGGATAAGCCAGTATCGATTAACACACCGAGAGGCACGCTGAACTGTGCGGATTACATTCACTACGCCGGAGTAACGGCGTGCAACGACAGTGAAATTAGGAGTTATTGTTGCCATACATGCTACAGGTACCAGCAAGCGAGGGCAGGGAGTGGTCAGTGACGTCATAGTGACGTCACATCGGACGGAGTGGTGTCTGAAGATTAGCCTGGTTCCCTGTCCCTGTTGTGTTACGAGTACTCTGTCAGGGAAACAGGCTAGATGTTGATGAAATAATGGAGACACGTTGAATTTAACTTTTTACAAACAAATAATGACTAATTCGTTGTACATATGTTTTTTTTAAAGGAGAAATTTAATTGATAACTTATCATCCACATTGTACACTTTGTTATTTATTTCATATTATTCCAAAAAAATGCTTATTTGTTGCATTAAATTTATTTATCATTTTTAAATAGGCAAAAATAGTATTTTATCTTTCTATTAAATCATTTAAATCTAGTTTTCATGCCTATGTCAAATTTACAAGAGTAAATTAAAGGGTTTTTTTTTAATTCAAAATCTTGAATTTATTAGGGATGGACATACCTATTAAATAATCTCGTAACGAATCTTCCTGTTCAATATCTATTGACTTTATATCTCAGGCTATTTGACAGAAGAATGAAGGTAATAATTTTCTATGATGAATTACGTATTTCTGAAATAAAATATTGATGTTTTGTTAAGGCTGGGAGCGTTTATAGATTCAACTTATCTTATTATTAACTCATTAATTCAGTGAATTTAAGAATATCCATGTATCAGTCATGTATTTATAATAATTTTATTTTTGTTTGTTTGTTTGTTTTGTTTTGCACACTGCATGATTGTAAGGAAGATTTAAATTTGTAATAATCTTAGTACATCTCATCAGAATAGAATCTATGAATTGTTGTTAAAAAGTCAAGTTTCAATTTTTCTAAGTTAGTAGATTTGGAATAATCAAATGTACAATTATTCATGTAATGTCAATTAAAAATTAACATATTTGTGATTTGATATTGAATTTCATAAATAATAAATTCAACGAAAAAGTTATTTGTTAAAACTTTAATTATATACTAAGAAAAAAAACCCATTTACCTTAAAGATTAGTTGAAACATACCGAAAACATGATTGTTTCTTCTATAAAAGTACAGTCAAACACCTTTATCTCGAACTCAACAGCACCGACAAAACCCTTGATATCCTAGGATTGGAGACATTGAGGGGATATAAATAAAGAACACATGTTTGGAATTTCTAGATCACTTCGAAATTTTCGTTCAAGAAAACGATTCTATATACCTAGATAATCTGTTAATACACCTTCGTAATTTCTGATCAACACAGTAAATTATTTTATATATATTGATTTGATTAGATTAACTCGGTAAATGTTTCAACGATATTTATTTTAAAAAGGATTTTCATTCCAAAATTTCTATGCTTAGTCAAAATCAGATGAAATACTATAATATACACATCATTATTTAATTAATAATCACATTCGTAACCCATGTTGATCATACTTGTCAAAGTTTATTCAAAAATGTTACTGAAACGACCTGCGGAGAACAATATTCTTATACAAGATGAAGAAAACCAATTCAATTCTTAGTTATAGTATACACATTTGCTGTTATTTAAAAAATCACCAATCTAAACCCATCTGACAACTTATGATATGATAACAATTATTTACTCCCATAACTAAGTTATGAAATCCAATTTTAGCTAAGAAGGCTTTTCTGGGGCACAAAGATTCAGTTGTACTAGCCGAGATTAATAACCTCAGATCTCATAACGTAAAAAGAGTAGAATATAGGCTTCGTTTATCTTCGTAAAACATAACTGCGTCACATGATATGTCAATCTATCTTTCAATCAATAGGGATTAAGGAATATATCGTTTTATGTATTGGAAATAACAGATGATCAATGCAGGGGGACGGTCTAATCAAGCGCTGCGCGTAGTATCGTTACCCAATTATACATAAAGTTTATTTCTTAAGTCTCCCGAGTAACTGAAAATTATTTTAGTTCGAGACAAAATAGACATACGTCAAAAATTGTTTATATCACCAATTTCCTTCTGAATAATTCTAAATGCCAGCGGAGTTATAAAATCTGAACCGGGCACGGAACGGAATCGATTTGAGACTTGTAAAAAAAACCAAAGAGAGGGATTTTTGGTGCTGTCTTGTTTTTAAAGTTTTTTATCCTCTATATATTTCTCTAAAAATTACCGTGGATGACTATATCTGATGCAAATAATTAGCTTATCAAACTTTTTGCAGTATCAGACATTCGGTACTGTACGTTAAGATACTAAAACTTTTTTGTTTTACTAAATAAGAACCAAAGGACATTCATGACCAAAAATAGGTTCAAGATTATTGAAATACTTTAAAATTTGTTCATTGTAATAATGAAGACGATGGGTTTTACAAAGAAATGAAAAATAAACCGATTCAAATGTACGCAAGTGTATCGATGCGGGCGGACGCTACTATAGAAATTTCCCATGTTAAATTCCTAAGTGAAATAAAGAAAGACGTAAACGAGCAGTGATAATTAAATCATTAATGACCCTCTAACAGTTTCAAGATCGAGTTTTTGTTTTTAAGTATGATCCTAGCCGCTGGGGTTAATACCACCAGCGCCTCATAGGAGTTATTACTACGAAATGATTTAATTTTAAAGTTGTGAAATGGCAGGCCAGATCGATAACTTGATTAACGTCTGCAGCTTCCATACCGAGGAGGAATTGGATCACTACTGTAAAACCTGTGCTAGAGCCCTTTGTGAAGAATGCATTAAACTAGACCATCGCGATCATGACTGGTGTAAACTTAGGAAGGTCGCCCAGGACGTTCGACGTTCTACAAGTGATAAAATTACCGAAATAATCAATCAAGACATCCCCAAAATAGAGTCTAACCTAAAGGCAATAGCTGAAGTTGAAGAAAAGAATAAAGCCACTAAAACTGAGAAAATCAACAGGATTAAACATCGCGAGAACGAATTAGTTTCCGCGGTCAAGGTCATCTCAGACAACTTAATCAAGGAACTTTCAGAAGGAGGCTCTAGCGTAGCAGGCGAGCATGACAGATCTTCGGAGGACAACGATATTACAACATTGCACAAATTAACTGGGTACTTTACAGAAAACAAAGATAGTGCAGATGACATCGTTATTGTTAAAGTACACGAGAAAATTCGGAATCGGCTGAGCGCCATCAAATTGCATGACCCACAGAGGTCAGAGGACCATGTGGAATTTAACGAAGGTCAAATCGATATCCACTCCTTAGAACATATGTTTGGGCGCATCGTCAGGGATAATTATCACCACTCCCAAATTTCGGCAGCTGAAATCGAAGGAACAACCTTGACAGAACTTTTTAATTTCCAGGTGACATCTAATCCGGTTATTTCTATTGCCGAAAAATCGCTGGAGGAAACGTGGGTGTATGGAAGGAACGACAAGGAGATCAAATTATGCAACACAGATGGCAATATCCTCCGGAAGTATGACCTGGATAATGTATTCATCAGGGGCTTCGTCCGCCTTGACAACGGGGACTTAATTATGGCGGATAGCGGCAATAGGGTGTTAAGTCGATGGTCGATTAAAGATGGCGAAATTAAAACTATAACGAATTTGTCACCCTTTGAGCCCTTGGGGCTGGCACTGTCACTGAAAAAGGAGTTACTTGTTGGGACGAAAGATCGATTCAATACACGTAGAATTGTCCAGAAAATGGCGATCAATGGACGCGTCCTGCAATCTTATGAGTACGAAGAAGGTCATCGAGAGTGGATCAAATATTATTTGTTTAATTCTCCAGACAGGGTGGCTGAAAATTTCAATAGGGATCTCTGTGTAGTAGATACGATGAGTCGAAACACGGGCCGTCTGCTTATCATTTCGGAGGCGGGAAAACTCCGCGTAATCTACGAAGGCCAAAATCTTGGCAGAATGTTCAAGCCTTCTGACGTCTGTTGTTCAAAAAATTGTGAAATTATTCTGAGCGATCCACGAAATAATGCTATCCATGTCCTTGACAAAGACGGGGCATTCCAGAGATTTTTACTGACGGATTGTCTCATGCCATCTGCTCTGAAACTCACCCCAAAAAGACTATTGGTGGGGTCCGAGAACGGAAGCGTGCATGTTTACGAATATGAAGAAGGTAATCAATCAAATGGAAACTAAAGGACTGCGCGCATGAGTAAAGAAGCGGCTGATGCATTTTAATGAGGAAACTTTGAGTAATTGCATATAAAAAATATGCCTGTAAATTTTCACTGTAAATGAAATATCAGATGAATCCTGCACTTGTCATACATTTTGCTGGCTCCAGTTTCACTGTAAAGACCTTTATGTAAAAAAAAATTAAGCGGTATAATGTATTCAACTTAAAACTTGAGTACATTTCTTGTAGATTTAATAAAATTTTAAAAATCAAAGCTATGCTCTGAAAGTTACGGAAGCCCGTTGAGGCCAGTTCAGAGAGAGAAATATTTTTTATTGCGTTTAATCGCAATAATTATTGCGTTTAATCGCAAAACTTTGCGTTTAATCGCAATAATTATTGCGTTTAAACGCAAAATTTTGCGTTTAATCGCAATAATCATTGCGTTTAATCGCAAAAGATTTAAACGCAAATGTCACGATTAAACGCATAATATCAATTAAACGCAATAATTATTGCGTTTAATCATTTTAGCGTTTAATCAAATTTTTGCGTTTAATCAAATTAAAACGCAATAATATTGCGTTTAATCGCAACTATTATTGCGTTTAATCGCAATATTTTTTTGCGTTTAATCGCAATAATTTTTTTGCGTTTAATCGCAATAATTATTTGCATTTAAACACAGTAATTTTGCATTTAAATGCAATACTCTTTGCATTTTATCGCAATAATCCTTCCTTTTAAGGATCATGTTGCATTTAACCATAAGTGATTCAGTGCTGTAGTTTGAAATCAAACATCGGCTTGCCAAAAATTATTATGAATACTATGGTCTGATTCTTTTAAGAAGAACCTTTTGGTTCTGTGTATTTTTGCAAAATGTTACAGTGTGTGAGATTTGAAGTTTAACAACTGCATCCTAAGTAAACAGCCAGAGTTTTTAAAACCTATTAGAACCCAACACTTTAAAAGCAGCCATTAATCAATTCCTTAGGTATCACATTAAAAGAAATTAAGAATATTTCAGTGGCATTAATAGCCACATCAATTTGGTAGTACAAATCGATCAATCTGTTTTCATTTGATTTATTTTGATTTCATATGATTTCATCCCCTAAATTTTCGTGTTCTCGTATTTACTTTATGTGATGAAAGGAAAGGTGAATATACAGGAATATAGACATCTATACATGCTAAAGCTTTGTTTCATACTAAGGTTGTCTTTGTTTTTACAGACCGACACTTCTTTCATCTCTTTAAATCCATAGGAATGATTTAATCATTCAGACTTGTTCAGAAGAATCTGAATCTATTATATGCTTAACAATACACAATTCTCCACATAGGTTAAAGTACAAAAGAAAAAAGAAACGAATATCAGCGCGGAACAATTGCACTCTTCAAAAATCAATAGAAATGATTGCTTTTAAATACAAAGATTATTGCGTTTAAATGCAAAAAATATTGCGTTTAATCGCAATAATATTACTGCGTTTAATCGCAAAAGTATTGCGTTTAATCAATGTTATGACTTATTGCGATTAAATGCAATTTATTGCGATTAAACGCAATAATATCCTTAAACGCAAAGTTTTGCGATTAAACGCAATACTGGAGTAATTATTGCGATTAAACGCAATAAAAATATTTCTTTCCCTGGACTGGCCTCAACGGGCTTCCGTAGAATTGTGTATTGTAAGCTTTATAAAATCAGATTCTTCTGAACAAGCATTTTCTGAATGGTTAAATCATTGTATGAAAATATAAAAACAAAGACAACCTTAGAAAGAAGAAAAGCATGCAAAACTTTGCAAATAATTTTAAAGGAATTTCGAAATAAAAGACTAGAGAAG